ACTTGGACAGGTTACGTGTACCTCGGATACAAATTATGAAGAGGTCTGTGGTGTTCTGGTGCTGAGCGAAATCTGGCTAGAAGGCCAAGCTGAGCAAGCGCGCCGGCTTTGGGAGAGACGGGCTATTAAGTAGAAAACGGATCCAAAATAGCCTCAGGGTGGCTCAGTCCGAATGGCGTGGCAATAGCAACTCGCACGAGTGAGCAGGGTGGCCGGTGATCCGGGGATCCAGGGAATTACCGGGTGAGGAGAAAATAACAGGACCAGGGTCCGCCGTCGAGAGCTGCAGCCCGTTCTCGCCAAGGTTTAGGTTCGAGAGTGGGCGGTGCTTGAAGACGGGCAGCGAGATAAGGTCCAGCGTCAAGACAAGCCGGGGCAGCCCGTATCAGGTGAGGAAACAAGACTAGCAGATGGCAGCACGCGCTATCGGACAAAATGGGTCGACGATAATTAGCCTGCGAGCGCTTGCGGCAAGTTCCTGGCCTGGCCGATTGCGAGGTCCAGCTATAGCACCGTGTGTATCTCCTGGGCGATAATGACAAGGACAGTCGCGGCGTTTTATAGCAGGCGCCAAGGGCCGGCGGCAGCAATGTTGCGCCGACTCTGTTTGTATCACCGTCCAGTCCGCGGGGCGCAAAGTGACTGCTGTCGAGTCGAGTCCGGGTCGTGGGCCAGATGCAAGATGTTGCCTAGTGGAAGAGAGAGAGATCCCCGAACGCTTGGCGCCAGCGTTGTTTGTCTGTCTGCCGCTTGATCCTGGCTGGGGGTTGGGCCGGGCTGCGTTTGGAGATTGGTCGGGTATCGACGGGATGGATAGGTTAATAGTGCTGCCGGTGGGCGTGCTGACGGACGGGTCTTGATAACAGAAGCGATGCGAAGGGGACAGGAGGGTGCTTGATGTATGTATGTATGTCTGCCTGTCGATTGATCCCTCTGCAGTTGCTAGACCGAGACCAGGCAGGGTGGCCAGGGTGGTGGCTGCGGGATTGCTGCAGCTGAGCGGAGCAGTCCTTCAATCTATTTTCTGCTCCTTCTAGGCGCCTAGCGATGTCAGAATGGAGCCCCTACGAGGGCGCCCATTGCGAAAAAGACTGGGCGTGCTGGGCTCAAGCTGCCATCCATTTCAGCCACAACGCACTTTCTTGGAAATTGCCTTGGGCATGGGTGGACCTGCCAATATCAACAGGACGGGACTCGGAAGGGCTAGCTCTTTCAATTTCCGCTTCTGCGCTGTCCATTCTGCGCCCGGCTAGCTGAAGCGTGAGAACAAACGGGCGTCTGACTGGAGACGTCACCACTTTCATTATCGGCACCAATGTACCCCTGCTATCAGAAGTACCCGACAGTCGGGCAGTCCCGTACTGGATGATCTGCCACGACATTAGCTGGGAGAATGTCATCCCAGGGCACATGGTCCGCTGCAGCGAACAACCCAGCGTCGTCATTGATGCAAAAAGCATAGGATAGCCATTAGGTTGGCATTAGGTTACCAGATGTACTGTGGCACTCCTTGTCGGCTGCCTCCTATCCACCCCCATCCGCCTGCCTCAAAGGTGACGGGGCTAGAGCCGCCAGGGTTGGTCGCCCAATCCAGCCGACGGGTTGAGTGGCAGCGATTGACTTTGGTGACGGCAACTGTTCGTTTGTTCGCTCGCCTTCGTCGGGCGGTGTCAACAGCATCCACCTGGTGCTGCCGACTCGCTCACTGAGATTGGTCGTTTATTCACCGCATTGAACACTCACAAACGGGATCCCACCTGGATGCAGCCAACCCGCCCCGGTGTCCCAGCTTCCATCATGGTCCTCGTCAGCATCGAGATCTGGGCAGCTCCATTGAGTAACCAGGAACGCACCTCGCCTGGCCAAGGACAGCACCAGCCTGTCCCCACCCGTTTTCTGTTGGATGCTGCCTTCCCCACTGATCGACGCTAACAGACGGGCCCAGAACGCTTGCTTCTGCTGGGCGCCACGGCTGGCTGATCGGCGCCGCTGCTTCCTGCTTTGGAGTATCGTGCGCCCGTGCCTGCGTACGCTCCCACCCTGAGTGATTCTTTTTGCTGGTCAATCTGCTGGTCTCGTGGCTTCAGAGCCTCCAGAAGGGCGGTTACACAGTTGTGACGGCGTAGCTAGGCGATCCTGGATCGGCAGTTGAATCACTGGGGCGCGGGGATTTTTTTCTTTCTTTCTCCTCTGGCTCTCCTCATCGGTCACTAGCTCAGGATCGAAAGGGAGGCTCAGCGGTGAGCGAGTCCATGCCATCATCGATCTCAGACAGAGTCCATGACCTCATTGGCCGCGCCTCCGGAAAGACATCCGTTCAGCTAAGTCTCCGAGCGCTCCTGATTGCATCATGCCCACGGACAGCGTCCACGTTTCCCCGCGGCGCTCGGTTTCTTCTTTTGCATCTGTGTCGCTGCCATGACTGCCTCGCACCCCTTCCCCGCTCTGCCAATGTATTTGTCACGGGAACACGCATCCCGCCCGGGGCGTCGGGAGGTTCAAAGGGCGTCAGTGGCGTCTTACGTACTTTTCTACTAACAAAAACGACCTGCAGGTCGTATCAGCTCTTCTAGCCGCCACACGTGGCACGAGGACAGAATTCTTTCACGCTGTGCATCTTTAGCCGAGGAGTACCTCGCATGGTATCACGTGACCTGGATTATTGGTCTTACCCCGCCATCGTTGGTGCATTCAAGTCCCTTCTGTCATGAGATGGGCACATCTAGTGTTGGCTTGTCACACCCAGGAGCCTGTGCATGCTGTGCTTGAGTCTGGGGATTGCGCCATGGCGGCTGAGCATCAGACATGGCCCCTGAAATGGCCTCACGGGCTGCCCGAGTGTTTTTCGTCGCATCTCACCCACGCAAAAAGGCGTCTTCTATGCTATACGCACGTGACTCTGCACAAAATCGCGCGGGCCTGTGACGGAAGCCCGTCCTGAACCCCAGAACCAAGCACATGCACGCCTCTTGCCCAGCCGCGCACCATGGAACGCTTCTGTTGGCAGTACCTACAGCTAGAGAGCTCCCTAGACTTCCCCGCGCCCGAGGCCCTGCGCGAGGAGGCGTGCCAGGAGGAGCTGTTTCGGCGCCTGTTTGCCGACGGCGCCCTGGCCCACCCGCCGCCGCACCGGTACCAGCTCGCCGTGCTCAAGGAGCTCGTGAGCCGCATCGAGGCCAGCATCGAGGACTGGGATCAACATGTACTGTAACCTTGCCCCTTTTTCATCCCAACTAGGGCACCACGCCACAGGAGAGCGCTACCAAAAATACACGCAAAGTTTTCGGGGTTTCTTGTTCTAATATGTCGCTACTCTCTTCTGATTTTTATTCCCTCGTTCCAGGGAGTCTCGGATAACCTGGCAGCAGCCTTAATGGGGCTTATCGCACAGCCGCTGCAGTCTGAGGCGACGGCGGCGCAGCAGAAGAGCTACGTAACTTATCACCTCTCGCTGCTCGAGCCAGCCCCAGCAGCCACAGAAAAGGGATACACGACAGCAGCAGCGACCCCGACCATCGCGCTGCTCGAGGCGCGCTCGCTCATATCGGCCTTGGGCACGACGGGCCTGCGCACGTGGGAGGCGGCCCTGCACCTGGGCCAGTACCTCTGCGCGTCCGACTCGGGCCGCCTGGCCGACGGCGGCACCGTTGTGCGGGGCCGGCGCGTGCTGGAGTTGGGCGCGGGCACGGGGTACCTGTCGGTCCTGTGCGCAGCGCACCTCGGCGCGGCGCGCGTCGTGGCGTCGGACGGGTCCGACGACGTCGTCAACGCCCTGCCCGACAGTCTCTTCATCAACGGGCTCCAGCACGACCCCTCCTCCTCCTCCTCGCCGGCCCGCGTGGCGCCCATGGACCTCAAGTGGGGCCACGCCCTCGTCGGCACCGAGGACGCGGCCTGGGACGGCGGCAGGGGCGTCGACATCGTGATCGGCGCCGACATCACGTACGACAAGGGGCTGGTCGGGGCCCTGATGGGTACGCTGGTGGAGCTGGCGGGAATGTTCCCCGGCGTCGAGATCGTGATTGCGGCCACGGAGCGCAACAGGGAGACGTACCAGGCCTTCCTGGACGCCGCGGGCAGGTCCGCAGAGCTGCAGGTGGTGGGCCACGTCGACTTTCAGGTCGATGGCAGCAGGGGGCCGTTTTTCGACAGCGCCGTGCCGATACACATCTGTAGGTTGCTGGGGAAGCGTGCAAAGTAACCGATGGCGGTTGACCCTGCTGTCTCAATCATATGCTCGTATTCTGGTTTGTCCATTTGACCCAGCTCTCAGCTTGCTTCAAGGTCTGCCAGACAAGCAGCATACTAGGCCCTAACGTCAAGCTAGCCCCTCCAATCCTCATCGTTCAAGCTACAGGCAAGCTAAGCGCTCTCGCAATCGCTGTGTAGAGCTCGCTTCCGTCGTCCTGAGCGCGAGTTAATTGATAGCTCGACCAGCTTCTGGGTTTACGAATTGCCAAGGGAAACCCCGCACACGTAATGATGAAGGTGCTTGATTGGCTGGCTATCTCCTTCTTTCACGCGGTCCTTCTTTCACGAGTCATCCCGAAGGGATAAATGTGCTTTGATTGGCTGGTCGCCTCCTCCTTTAATGCTAACTTCCCTCCCTCCCCACCTACGGCTGTTGTAGCCTTAGGCATCAGCTGCCCTCCACTTTTTGTTAGGGCACACATCTAATTTGACCCTGGCCCCGCACCTTCCTGCTGATTCAGCCAGGGCTCCGCCATTTGGCTCACAACAGAAACCAGAGCGCATCAGCAAAAAAAACAGCCCGCACCAAAAGACTTGCCTTCTCGACGACGACAACCAGAAAGATCCCCGGCATCACCACCCAGCCATAATCACAAGCCGCAACCATGGCCGACGCCGATACCCCGGTTACCCTGCGCACGCGCAAGTTCATCCGCAACCCGCTGCTGGGTCGCAAGCAGATGGTCGTGTGAGTAGCTCCTGTCCGCCCGTTGCTTGAGATGCTCTTCTTGTGCGCTCTTTCGGTCGGTGGCAGCCTGCAGCGGCGACGGCTTCAACTCGCTGGGAACAACGCAATCTGGCGATGGAGGACCGGGCGAAGACAGCAAAACCGATCGAGCGAACTCGCTGCGTTGGACAATGTGGCTCGCGACACGAGCCAACCCAATCGATCGCCAGCCAATTCCACCCGATCATCAATCGACACTCCCGATCCTCCTTGTCTTCTCCCTCTGTCTCCCGGACAAGCCATCGATCCAGCCATCCCCACGCTCAGCCTCTGCAATTCGACCGAAAGAGCCAGCGAGCAGACGCGCGGGGCCCGATGCCAATTGATGGCAGACTCGACTAACTTCTCTCTTCAGTGACATCCTGCACCCCACCCGCCCCAACATTTCCAAGGATGAGCTCCGCGACAAGCTGGCTGGCCTGTACAAGGCCACCAAGGATCAGGTCAGCGTCTTCGGCCTGCGCACCCAGTTCGGTGGCGGCAAGACCACCGGTTTCGCCCTGATCTACGACTCCCCCGAGGCTCTCCAGAAGTTCGAGCCTCGCTACAGGCTGGTCCGCATCGGCAAGGCCACCAAGGTCGAGAAGGCCAGCAGACAACAGCGTGCGTATTGCCCCCCGGCCCTGCCCCTCCATCCGCCAGACTTGCTGACCATCTCTTTCCCCCTCCACAGGCAAGCAGCGCAAGAACAGGCAGAAGACCCTCCGCGGCACGGCCAAGGTCAAGGGCGCGAAGGCGAAGAAGGACAAATAAATGCAAAATATCACGGCGCATGGGAGGGTTTCCTGGGGTTCCGCTCCCTATTCACGATCTCTTGTTGGTTCCTGTCCCCCATTTTGGACAGGACATCGCCTTCATCATGGTGTTCTGGGGGAACTGGGCACACATCCATGGGCACCGTCGTGCTCCTGGCTTTGCTGTTGTTGGCTTGGGCTCGACCTGCTCGCCCTTTTCTTTTTGCGGGCGGGGTGAAGCGTCGGGATGAACCAACAAAAAACAACATGCATGTTTTTCTGCCTCTTACTACAATTTACCGGAAAATCGGTCATGGCGGCGTGAAGGGATGGGCATCGAATTTTATATTTTTTTTTGACATGATGGTGGGATCAGTGCACCTTGTGATTTGCGGATGCGGGTTGAGTTGTTCGAGTGAACATCGGCTTTTCCCTGTTTTCAAGTGCACAACGTGGGTTACCGCACTGACCTGGAGACTGAGGCAGCGCAAACAGTAGTCGGATGCAATTTGATGCTGAGAAACGAGCTCGTGGGGAAGATGGAGATGTCGCCCTGCAGAACGCAGCCCTTTTACGCATAAAGAAATAGCACGAGATGTCCGGCCATCCCACCTACAAAACCGGGCTGTCCAAGAGCAAAACAGACAGGCCTGTGACCAAAGAGAGAGACAACAGCGCGTCTACCCACAGAAAGCACACGTCTCCTCCAGCCCGTCCATCCCAAGTCAGGGTCAAGACCACGCCGCCATGGCCCCAACAGCCCCGACAAACCCCGCAGCGACCACCCACAAGGCAGGCGCGCGCGCGCCCGGCGACGCGGCGCCCCAGTACCCGTCGCCGCAGTACTCGTAGCCGGCGCGCACGACGCAGTTCCACTGGCCGCCGCCGGGGTTGCCCCAGCTCTGCCGCGTGCTGGCGCCCGCCGGCGCGCTGTTGCCGCTGTCTACATGCACCTCAGCCGCTGCCGGTATCCCCTGCGCCGCCGCCTGGATCGCCGCCACCGTCTCGGTCGAACCCCGGCTCGCCGGCGCCGGCAGAGAAGGCGGCGACGGCGTCTGTGTTTGCTCGCACCAGGACGGAGAGGCTGCTGCGCGGCTGGGGCTGGGGCTGGGGCTGGGGCTGCTGCGCGACGGGGCGCCGGACGATGTAAAAGGTGCCGTCGTCGGCGGCGGCGGTGGCGGGTGCTTCTGTTGTCGCTGCTGCGGCTGCTAGCAGGGACGAGGGTTGGAAGAGCAGCGTCAGTAGCTGGATGGCGATGATGAGGAAAGCCCGCATCGTTGCGGTAGATGAGAAGGCAGCTTGGTGTCCTGGGCGGGGGGCAGGGGTGGTGGCGCGGGGGTGTGTTGCGTCAACAGAGACCGCGCGTGTCCCGGTATCCCAACGAGAGAAGTCGGTGTTCTAGTGGACGTTGAGTGATGCTGTTGGGTAAGAGTGAGCAAAGAATATGAAGCCAGGATGTCGCCAAGCTGCATGGGAGAGTACATTTATCACTTTTATATATCGGATCCCACGTGTCGTCACGCCCGCACCAAGGCGCTTCGCCGGCACATTTTGCTGTCACAGGGCAAGATGGACACCGGCGGGCCGAGAAGGAGGGAGATGGCGATGATATCACTGGGCGACCGGGCTCCGCCAAGAAAAGAAAACGCCTCGATCCCGGGACTGGGGGCTCGGTAGGCGCTGCGACAGGCAGTGGGTAGGTATCATTCGTCTCCTTCTTTCCTTCCTTCGCGCACATGGCTGGCGGGCCGCGCAACGATGCAGGAGCCGGGAAGTATTGCCGCCGGCAACCCTTATGCAGGCTGCCTATACCCATCGCCCTCTCGGTGTGTGGCTAATACCGGTGTTGGAGATATCACGTATACAATGTGACCCTCTGGCAGGCAGGGGAATGTTACGGATATATGCACGTGTATATCTATGTCATGATGTCCATAACATGGGTACCTAGATAGTTTGCAGCTGCGCAAAGCAAGGCATTGCGGACCGGGCCAGCCGATGCAGTTAGCAAAAGACTTGACTACATCTTGACCGGACGGCACGCTGAAGGTGCGCTGCTTGTTTTTTCGTGGTAGGGGCGGTTATGTTCGCGAACGCAAAAATGGCGAGGCGGGCAGGATGCGTTGTCCAAGTCAGATCCGTCGGCATGATCCAAGCTGTCAGGGGTAATCCATGGACGTGCTGATGGAAACGTCTGCATTTGCTCGCATCGACTAGAATCCATGGCATTGATTGGTTGGCGTCGTTATGCAGACTACCTCGCTCATTGTGCTAGAGCGGCTGCCTGGGAAACCACTGCGCCAGTCGAGGTATTTTGTTGCATCGAGTGAGGTAACGAACACGACACGACTGCAGCTTTCACCGAAATCCCAAATACCTAACCATGGAAGAAACCGCGATGGATATAGTTCAAACATCGACCCTGAGCTGGCACACCGGAAGTGGTCTCTATCCTATATACGCTTGATAGCCGTATTGATATCTCGGAATGGAATGCCTCGGACCAAACCCAACAAAACAAAAATAAAAAGACGCTGGCAGCCATACTAGGCTCCAGTATGGGGGTATTCGTGTGTCCACAGTTAGCTACAGTGGACCGGGAGGGTGTTCAAGCAACGGACAAGAGACCGTGTATTAGAAGACAAAGATCGATAGTGTCTGACAGGTTCTTTGCGAGATATTCGTCGATGTCGGTTGAAACAGTGGTGTGCATGTGGAAAATGGCCGGATCGAAGCGGGCTGGTCTCAGCTGCGGTACTCGACCACAAAGCGTCTCTCGACAAGTTGTAGAGTGCCCGACGTCTCTTCGCCTTCGAAGCGGAGATTAACCTTGCCTGTAGCGGCGTCTGTACCCATTACTTCGGCCTTGTAGAATGTGGTGCTATCTGGGTACAGTGCGAGTACCGTCTTCCCCTTGTCCAGGTTGGGGAGTTCCTGGCTGGGGCCGGGGATCGGGATCATGTTGCTGGCGCTGGTGCGGTACTCTGTCCTCTGGTCTGGCGGCAGATCAGGGTCCTCGTCCTTGACCTTGTACCGCCGCGACTTGCCCTCGCCTAGCACCTGCTGCACCTTGCCCAGGTACCAGTCTGGGCTGTCGCTACTAACTGTCTGCTTAGGCTTGAAGGCGACGTCCTGGCCCTTGCTGAAGACCACCTTAGACCGCTGCGTGGCTGCTGCAGATGCTGCTGCAGCCGCTGCCGCCGCGGTCGACGACGCCGAAGGGGTTCCGACCGAGGCCCCGGGTGCGGCAGAGACGGAGCCTGCGGCCGAGGAGGACCCCGTGGCCGGGGGCTCGGCGCTGTCGGCCTTGGGGGTGTCCCGGTCGGCGCCTCGCGGGGGGACGCTGTCGCGATTCCCGGAGCGGTCGCTACCGGCATTGCCCAGCTTGCGGGTGGTGTGGTGGCTACCAAGGGGGGAGGGCACGGGCGACTCGGCGCCGTCGAAATCGTAGAGCGAGGCCGGGTCGCGCATTGAAGACGACTCGCGGGCCTCGCGGGCCTGCTCGCGTTGCTGCTCGCGCATGGCGCGGCTCGGGTTGCGGCCGGACCCCGAGAGCAGACCCGAGGCGGAGCGGGAAACGCCCAGGTGGTGGGAGCTGCCGCCTTTGGAGCCCAGGTCCCCGCCTTCAGCCTCTTCCTTGGCCTTCTGGATGGCGCTCAGGACTTGGACTCGCTCCTTGGCCGACTTGATGAGCTCGACGAGCGAGTCCGAGTTTTTGACGCCGCGACGGAATAGCTCCTCGAGCTTGCGCTCCTCGGCCTCGATCGAGGGCATCGAGTCCGGGTTCTGGGCCATGTACGAGTCCTGGCCCTGGATGCTGCGCACGTTGTCGGTGCTCTCGTTCAGCATGTCGACAATCTGGCGCATGTCGTCCTTGGACTGCTGCCATAGCTGCACCTCCTCGCCCTGGCCGCCATTGCGGTTGGGGCCGCGCGAGTTGCGGTTGCGCTGTGACGACATCGGGGTCGACGCGCGGCTGGTGGGCGTGTCTTCTTCTACAAAGGGCGGGCAGGGCCAAGGGAGCAGGAGAGGAAGCCGACTGTCAACGTAAAACCGAACTCGCGTCACGCCCCGTGCTCGGGCAGGGAGGCCAGGCAGGGAGGCCAGACAGGGAGGCCCAGGCAGGGCGGCTCAGGCAGCACGGCCCTCGTCCTTACCTGCTGCTGCTCCACTAGAGGTGCGGGGCCGTCCTCCGCCGCCGCCTCCTCGGCTGGCTGCTGGGGCGGGCGAGGGAGACTCGCGGCCGCGCTTCCTGGGCAGCGGCGCGGGCCGGGCGATAGGCGGCGCGGAGCTGTCCTTGGAGTTTGTGGTTTGGCGGCCGGCGCCGGGGGTGCTCCAGTAGCCGCCGAGCGTGTCCTCGATCTTACCGACCTCAGGCCGTTTCTTCCTCCGGTCAGCCATGGGACATCGCCTGTCAGCTGGCGCGCGAGAAGGTGGTGGTGGTGGCTATGGTTATGGTTATGGTCATGTGGTGCTGGTGCTGGTGCTGGTGCTAGTGGTGGTGGTTGTGATGATAGTGGTGATGATGATAGTGGTGATGATGACAATAACAGAGGACAGGTTGAGCCGGTCAGGACAAGTCATTTCTCACCGCAGTTCTGGGGGAAAAGTTGAGGAAGGAGAAGGGTGACGGCGGATTGTTTTTTTCAGACGCAGTGCTCAAGTCGCGACGGCGAGATGACCGATTGATTCCTCGACTGCGTCAGTCGCGCGAGGCGATCTCCAGGCGAGGGCCCCTTTCACGACTCGGGCCGAGGATGCGATGTGGAGCAGACGCTGCAGGCGGATGGGCCTTGAGGGAAAGCGCGAGCCGGCGTTGTCTTGTCACGGTCGAGGCTTGGTGTGCTGGCTGGGTGCCTTTGGGTGGTAGTAGGCCTTTAGGTGTCTTCAAGGTTGCTGTTTTGGGTGGCTGTGGGCGGGCGATGGCTGCCTGTGCCTTTATGTGCTCCCAACCAGCTGCGCCTGCATTTTGTGTGCCGTCAGCGCGTCCTGAACTGAACGCCTCTTGCTTCAAGAGTGAAGCTTGTGGGCTTTTTACACGGCATGCACGTAATTGGCCCGGCCATCTCACGGCATAAAGCAATCCCACCACCTAGCACATGGGCGGGCGTATCTTCGCTGGAGGGCGCTGGAGCTGGTGAAATCACTAGAGCCAAAAAGAGCAGGCGGTCAACGTGCATCGTACAGTCTACGCCCATAAGACACGGTGCCGTGCCACAGCGATGACTTGCTGCCCCGCTCCAATCCCAGGAGGAAGGAACCCCTCACCAAAGCTATGGTTGTCAATGCCATCGATGGTTCTGGTCCAATTGTGTGGGAACGGGGTGTGGCAGATTCACTGACGTCAAATAGAAGAACCCACCACCTCTAGGCCACCTAGACCCAGCAACGAAAGAACGACAAACGAACGCCTCAACCCTGGCCAGACCAGTCTGACCTCCATCCAGCCTTTGACCTCGGCACCACCCACCGCACAGCAAGCAAACACATACACACCCACGATGCAGGTCCCTCTGTTCAGGCTCCAGTGTGGAGTCAACTCGTACGACTGGGGAAAGAAGGGCTCCGAGTCGGCCGCCGCAAAGTTCGCTGCCGTAACAGCCCCCGCCGACTTCAGCGTCCAGGACGACAAGCCCTACGCAGAGGTGCGAGAACGTCTGGCGCCAGAAACAGCTTCTAACAGCCACTGACCCTACCCAACGCTACCTTGGACTTTGGTCTTCACAGCTATGGATGGGAACCCACCCCTCCAACCCGTCAAAGGACGTGGACACGGGCCGCTCCCTGCTCGAGCTCGTCGAAGAGAACCAGGCTTTCCTTTCGCCCGCCGTGACGGCCAAGTTTGGCCGCAAGCTGCCCTTCCTGTTCAAGGTGCTCTCCATTGGCAAGGCCCTATCCATCCAGGCCCACCCCAACAAAAAGCTTGCCGAAAAGCTGCACGCCCGCGACCCCAAGAACTACCCTGACGACAACCACAAGCCCGAAATGGCCATCGCCATCACCCCCTTTGAGGGTCTCTGCGGCTTCCGTCCGCTCGACGAGATCGCCCACTTCCTTGATGCCGTACCCGCCCTCCGGGAGCTGGTGGGCGAGGACAAGGCGGCGCAGTTCACAGCCGCCGCAAAGGACGGGAGCGCCGACGAGGGCGCCAAGAAGAAGGCGCTGCGTGAGGCCTTTAACGCCCTCATGTCGGCATCCGAATCGGCGCTCGCGGCGGCGACGGAAAAGCTGGTAGCTGATGCGGCAGGCGAGGGGGCAGAGTTCGCCGGCAAGGGCGTGGCTTCGACGTCCGGCAAAACGCTGTCGGAGCTGGTGGGTAGGTTGCACGGGCAGTTCGGGGCTGACTATGGCTTATTTGTGCTTTTCTTTTGCAATTTTGTAACGCTGGAGCCGGGCGAAGCGCTGTTCCTGCAAGCCGACGATATCCACGCGTACGTGTCGGGCGACATCATGGAGTGCATGGCAGCGTCGGACAACGTGGTGCGGGCTGGGTTTACGCCAAAGTTTAAGGACGTGCCCACACTTGTGGACATGCTTACCTACGGCTATGCACCCATCGACGAGCAGAAGATGCAGCCGCGCGACTATCCCTTCGCAACGCTTAACCGGGCGGCTTACAGCTCCGGGTCGCATGCGCTCCTGTACGATCCGCCTATCGAGGAGTTCAGCGTGGTCGGCGGCTCGCTCAAGGCCGAAGGAGCCAAGGCCTCGTTCGACCCCATCGACGGGCCCAGCATCGTCATCTGCACCAAGGGCAGCGGCAAGATCTCGGTCGGGCCGACGGTGAAGGAGCTCAAGGAGGGGTGGGTGTACTTTGTGGGCGCGACGGCCGAGTGCGTTATCGAGGCCGAGGGGCTGGCCGAGGGCGAGGAACTCGTTTTCTTCAAGGCCTTTTGCGAGGTTGAGGACCACAGCAACGGCAACGGCGGCGCCGCGTTGTAAGTGGTGCTAGTGCGATGTCGCATATACATGGCGGGGCGGACGGCAAGATAGTGGCCTAGGGTTTCATCTGCTGTGTGACACGTCGGTACATGTCGGTATGCATGCCAATATCGCCGGTTCCCTTGGAGGCAACGGTGCTCGGCAGCAAATGAGAGCGATAGGCTTGGTAGGCACGCTTTTCCAGCATGCAGAGTAAGGAGATTACCAAGATATGAGATGGGTCTCGAGGTAATCAGACGAGCGTGCAGTATTTGTTGCGAGACGAATCGAACCGAATTGGTGCATGTGTCTGGCTGTATGTAAGGCGTCAAGTGGCGTCCATGGGTCGTGACTGGACGGGCAAGAGAAATCATGGAACAGAAAAAAGGGACCTCAAAGGGCCTCGAAAGGGACCTTGCCCCTGGTCGGGGTAAATTTGCTGCCAACAAGGCTCCACACACCCATTGTCGCCTGTTCTCTGCAAACCCCTGCATTGCCGCCATTTCACTTGAAGGTTCTGTATGTTCTTCTCTCGGAGCACACCTTGTGCAGATTGCAGGTCTGGAGACAGGCAGTATCTCATCCGTGCTCGGCCTGTCTGCCGAAAAGGTTTCCATGGCACGGCCCCAGGTCCCCGTCGCAGGTTGCAGGAGATCAATGACCAGCACACTGGATGGCTAGGGGGATTGTAAATGCTGCCATGGGATTCTTCGGGCCCAACCTGAATTTGTGTGCTTTTATGTAAACTTTAGCTGGCTTTGGTGGTTCAGTTGAATGGCTCAAGCTTAAAGGGGCCTCCAACAATTCAACCAGCGCATTTTCCCTTGGTGGGGAAGGACCACGATCTCGGGTGCGGTTGCTCAGGAACGGGGCCCACCCCCAGGCCCTTCTGTGCGTGTTGAGATCAGGGGCTCGGCAGGAACAGCATGCGCCCAGGCTGCTGCTGCGCTGGAGGACCCAAGCCAGCCAGCACCCGTGCACGCGGCACTTCCAGATAGAGATAGGTACAAGCACATATTAAGCATAAGCACGCACTCGACTGAGCTCCGAGCACAGCGCCAGACACAGCCAAGGCTGGCGATTCGCCCATCGAGACAATTGGAACAACAACAAAACAAAAAACAGAACGAGAGAAGAAGCCAAAGCCCCGACCACGTGGACTTTATTAGCGTTGAGCTGTGACGACTGCCAACTTGCAGTTCTCGTGTTCGTCCTGGCATTTTCCAGAGCCTGCAGTTGCTGCCTTCGTCGCCTGCTGCCTCCCGCACGACCCAAGCGAGCCCCAGAAAAAATTCCCGATAAAATCATCACCCGCGCCAGGCAAACCCAGCCCAGCCCCAAATCCACCCCTGGGCCGGACTGACTTGACCTGCCTTTGTCGCGAAAACGCTAAACCTCGATAGCGCCTCCTCCCCACCTCGTCCTGCCCCCACACACTGTCTAGTTCTGGTCCCCTACTTTGGTCCCCAGGCACTCTGCTCCCCTTGATCTACCGTCGGCCGACCGCGTCCTTGTTCCTGTCACTCGTTCTGGCTCGTCGTCCGCCCTGATAGCGACCGACCAACCCCCGAGCCTGCCACTGCTTCGAAAACGAGCGCTCGTCCACCGGCCTTCGCCAGCTCGCCCTCTCGACTGCCGCCTCGATAGCCGAGCAAGGACAGCAAGGTCCGATAGCAGCGACCAACGCGTCGTCACGGCAAAAAAAAGACAACCACAGCCGCCGCCTCCGCCGCCGCCGCAATCATGGGTGGCCAGCTCTCTAAGATGATGGGCAAGATCTTCGGATCCAAGGAGATGAGGCTGCTGATGCTGGGGCTCGACGCCGCCGGCAAGACCACTATCCTGTACAAGCTCAAGCTGGGCCAGGACGTTACCACAATCCCCACCGTCGGCTTCAATGTCGAGACGGTCACGTACAAGAATGTCAAGTTCAACGTTTGGGATGTCGGTGGCCAGGACAAGATCCGCCCTCTTTGGAGGCATTACTTCAGCGGTACGTCTGTATGTCTTCTCCGCTTGGGCGCGATCTGACCTTTGATGCTGACTCCGCTGCTGCGAATAACAGGAACCCAGGGCCTGATCTTTGTCATCGATTCGTCGGACCGGAAGCGCATGGACGAGGCCAGGCAGGAGCTGCATCGTATCATCAATGACCGGGAAATGAAGGACAGTCTGCTTCTGGTGTTTGCGAACAAGCAGGACGTTGAAGACGGTATGTCGACCCGGAATCCCGGCACACCTTTTCAACAGACAGGATCCCCCTAGACCAGACAAGCTGACCCCTGCCTCTCTCGACTCTCCAGCAATGAAGCCACAAGAGGTCACAGAGGCCCTCCAGCTCTCCAAGCTTAAGGACAAGATCTGGTACGTGGTGCCCAGTTGCGCCACGACGGGCGAGGGCTTGCTGGAGGGCCTGGCCTGGCTGTCCAACAATGTCAAGGCTCCCCCGGCGCCGGCCAAGAAGTAAACGCTGCCATGTCCCGCCAACTCTGAAGCCTGCCCTCCCCCCGACCGGTCCTTCCTTTTGTCTGCTCTCGCACACCGATGGTACGACAGCGGCGACGACGGCATTCCGCATCGCACATACACTCTGGCGAAGCCGAAACCTGCTACCCTGATCAGACGTATCGATGCTGGATACTGCCACTCGGCCATTGGTAGCTCGCCAGATTCGAACCATGCCACGGAGCCGCCCCGCCCCCGTCCGTTGGCCTCCAGGCCCCTCTTGCGCGGGCCGCACGATGGCCTATCTAATCAGATGGGCGGGCATGGGGTGTTGGTCTCACCGCAGCTGCGCACCTTGCTGCTTGCCCCAGGCTCCCAGACCAGCATATCGTTGTCGCTTTTCCTGATTCGTGCTCCACCTGCCCTCGCCTTTTTTGCTTTGCGACTCACGTGGGCCTCCACAGGGGGTGTTGGCTACTGTGGTTGTGGTTGACTGTATGAACATGCTTCCTCGAGCTCTGGCTCGCTTCTCTTCTATCCGGTCTTCGGGCTTTTCTGTTTTCCTATCAGCCATTGAGCCGGCGTATCCCCCATCTTTGGTCCTATTTGCATTTTAATTCATGCCTCTACGTTCGTTTTGGCTCTGTTACTTTGTCATGTGGCTTTGTCGATTTTTGTAACTGTCCTTTTTGTTGTCTCTCTCGGATGGAGGATACCCAGCTTGTTTTCCCTGGTTTACTTTGACAAGGCAGGTGGAGGACTTAACTGAGAAAAAAAAAAAAAGCAAAAGACCGACCTCGGTGCCTAGTTTTGTGCGCTTTTGGGTCCGTGGGTGTTGTGTCTGTGAGAGGAGGCTTGGTGAGATACCGGGGTGGTGGTTGCTTGAGAGTAGTTGCGTGCTTGTCCTTTTGTTTTTAGATCCTAGGGCAGAACAGAATCCCACGGTCTCGGCGTACTAGACTTTTGTGATGAGGGCGGCCGTGTGAGGTGGTACGCCCACCACCAAAAGGATGGCAATCTTACAGGTCCTAAGTGTGAAGTAGCATCGTTAGTGCCGTAGGGCTTATCCTTGTTTTTTTTACTGTTATTCCTGTTGTGATTCCTATTGTTATTTCCAAATGGAATTGTCCACCGCATGAACAATCATCCGGGATCTGTTTTCACAGCTCTCTGTTGTTTGGGTAGGACTGCCGTCTTTTTACTAGATACGAGGAGCCACAGCATGGACAAGAAGGCGAGGACGCGTGCGTTGATGCAAAATAATCACATGATACCTAAACCACGGAATACTATTATTCCTCTAGGCAGGAAACTCCCCAACGCCACAGTAGCCATGTTTCGTCCCAGGAGGCCGGAACACCCCAAGGAAACCACAAACCCGACAAAAAAAAACACAACGACACCAGAGGCCAGGACACTTCAACCCTAATTCTCCTTGACGCGCTTCCCCGGCCGCAGCGTGTCGTCGGGCAGGCCGCTGCGCTTGGTGCCGGGCAGGCTGCTGGTGCGAATGTCGTTGTCGTCCTGGCTGACGCGGCGGTGCGGGTACTCGGCCTTGCAGCCCTCGAAGCAGTTGTTGCTGGGCCGGTCGCCGCCCGTGGAGAAGAAGGGGTGCTGCAGGGCCGCGGCGGCCGTCAGACGGCGCTCCGGGTCGTACTCTAGCAGGCCCGCCAGCAGCTTGTAGCCCTCGACGCCCAGCGACGCCGGGCTGCCCGCGGGCGGGTGCTGCATGGGGCCCGACGTCTGGCCCTGCGAGATGGTGTGGTAGTACCACTTGTCCAGGTTGGAGTGGCCCGCTATCGACGACGACGACGACGACGAAGACGACGAGCCGGCGCCGCCGCGGGACCCGCCGCCGCCGCCGTAGTGGCCCTGGTGGTGGCCGTGGTGGCTGCTGCTGCTGCCGCCGCCGCCGCCGGGCAGCGGCTGCTGGAGGCTCGAGATGTGCTGGTAGTCGGGCAGGTTGGGCAGCAGCGGCCAGCGCTCCTTGGTGGGCAGGCCGACGATGTCGACAATCTTCTGCATCTGGTTGCGCTGAAACGGCATCGTCTTCTTACCCGCGTCCATTTTGGCCTCCTCGCCCTTGAATATGGGCCGCAGCGACAGCAGCTCGGCAAAGATGCAGCCGACGGCCCACATGTCGACGGCGGGCGTGTAGTGCTTGGACCCCAGCAGCAGCTCGGGGGCGCGGTACCAGATGGTGACGACCACTTTATCGCCGTCGTAGAGGCAGCGCAGCGGCTTCCAGAACAAACGGGCCAGGCCCAGGTCGCCGATCTTGACCTCGCCGGCCGACGTGACCATGATGTTTGCAGGCTTGAGGTCGCGGTGCAGCACCCAGTTGGTGTGCAGGTACTGGCAGCCGTTGAGCAGCTGGAACATGATGCTCTTGATGGTCTGGGGCGGGATCGGGTGCTTGGGCTGCTGCGTGTGGTGGTGGATGATCTGCAGCAGGTCGTGCTCGGCGTAGTCGAACACCATGAAGATGCACTTGTCCTCGAGGATGATCTCGACGAGCCGGATCACGTTCTGGTGGCTCAGCTCCGAGCACAGCGCCATCTCGCGCACCGCCGACTGCGAGATGCCCGTGTACGACACCTCGCCCTCCTTATCGGGCTTGAACTTCTTGATGGCGAACTCCCCCGGCTGGCCCTGCCGCCCGAGCGCCTTGTACACGCGCCCGTAGGTGCCGCTACTAATGAAGCCGATGACCTTGTACTTGTCCATCACCCGCACCTTGCTCTGGTAGCCCGTCGGGCCGGTGCCGCGGTCGGCCGGGTCTGTGAGGAGAGGGTTAGCGAGGAAGGGCATGGTCTAGGTAGATATGTATCGGGAGTTGACACGGAGGAAGATGAGCCAACAGGCGATGCTGTCGTCTGCGCACTTGTGACGGCGACCAGAGCGACTTGCTCCATGCTCGCGTGGCCGGTACTACGCTACACCAGCAAAACTAGCCAGCGGCGGCGACTCAACACCACGGCTCGACAGACCACAAGGGAACACAAGGAAACACAATGAAACACAAGGATGGGGCAGTAAGCACATTGTGGAGTCCCGTACGGCCTCATGATGGGCGGGACTGTGGGCGACGGCGCGCGTTGGCTCGTGGGTTGGGCCTCCCAAACCAGGCTCGACAGTCGCAGGCTGCCAGACCACCAGCCTACTTGCAGTCGGCGCTCTGGGAGGGCAGCACCGGCCCGGCCCGGCTAGGCCTCGCCCACTGGGCTCCGTTTGACAGGCGGGGCCAGCAGGCGGCGGGCAGGCGAGGTGTCAAGGCCCGGATGCGTCGGAAGAGCTGTGCGTGGCGTACGAAAGAGGCGACGGACAGGGAGCGGTGTGCGGGTCACAGCCCAAGAGCGGGAGAGAAGGTCGGGGTTTTATTTTTTTCGATGAGGTGGTCATGCATGTGCGTTATATAGACGGCTCCGTTGTTTGCGGTTTCGGGACGGGGCTGCAGCTGGCATGGACATGGCATGCAGATCTCACGGATATATCTTGGGGCAGCCGCCACCGCCTTGGCCCGCCCTGGCTGCTGTCTGTCCCCTGCACGCACTGTTGGTTCCACAAGCGGGGGGTTCTCTGGAGGGGAGGGTGCAAAAGAGTCGGGGCCGAGTCGGGGGCGGTGGGGGCCTTGGACTTGGGCGGATCGGATGGAGTGCAGGATGCTGTAGACGACGAGGGAAGGGAGAGAGGATGTCGTCTTACTGGCAGGCAATTTGATCGTGGGCGGCGTGGAAGGACGAACCAGCCCAAGGCCAGGCCGGAAGAAGCAAGAGAGCAGAGGGGCTAGTGAGCCCCTTGCGGCACATGCCCTTCATGGACTGCTGCAGAGGCCTTTTAGGCTGGCTGGGGCCAGCGAGGGGCAAAACAAAAAGAAAAGAAAGACGGGCCCGACTCACCATCAAAAGTGGCCTGGACGCTGCGCTTCAACGGCTGCGCCTGCTGGCTCCTTGGCGCCGTCGCAGAGCTAGGCCCGCCCGACGCCCCCGACGAAGGGTTCGTGAGCGTCATTTGCTGGGTCTGGTGTGGTCTGGTCAGGTCTGGTCAGGTCTGCCTGCCTGGCGTGTCCCCTGCCAACCTCACTGTCTGCACCGCGCTGCTGCAAGTGCTGCCGCCCGCAGCAGCCAAGCTCCTGCGAGTCGCGTCGCGTCGTGCCGCGCTGACAGGCGAGTAAAGACAATACTTGAAAGTGGAAGCGACCACGGGGTAGCGACTTGCTCATCGATGTGAGCCGTCGGTCTGTCTGTGGTGTTGTCTGTGGTACTAGCAAGAGGGAGTACAGGGCCGACGGATCGATGTCGCCTATTCCCCCATGCTATCTCGAGACCGGCGCGCAAGGCTCAGGCCAGCAGGAACCGGATGGTTGGCGATGGACGAGGACTTTAGCGTCTAGATGGGCGCGTGACGAGAGATATGCTCAGACCAAGGGCTTTTTGTCCTTGGGTTCGCTCTGGGTTCGCTACATCTCGTACTGGACGCCAGGGGACGCACCAGGAATCGAGAAATAAGAACCCATCAGAAGAGGAATCTCTCAATGGTTGCTAGAGCTTTGGCACCCGACACTCAGCTTATCATTCAGGTGCTTTCAATCATCGACCGTGGGAACTGATGCGACATCACCGTGCACATCCGCGTGCGTCCACCCAGATACACACAGTGCCCCCCCCCCCCCCCCCCCCCCCCTTTAGTTATCCGCGCTAGTCCCAACTGGAACACGTCCCGCGACCCACTTCCAGTCGCGCTCCACTAAAAAAATCTGGACTTCGCATCGCGGCGGCTTTCACTGCGACTCGCTTTTCTGCCGCCAAAAAAAGAAGCCATCTCAACTTTTATCGCCCATCCTGTGCCCAATTGGGCTCAGCACTCTCCTAGACGCCCACCATGCCCTCCGCTGTCGACACCGAGGCTCCTACGGCCTCCCGGAAGCTGGACAAGAAGTCCAAGAAGGAAAAGAAACGAGTAAGAGACGATGAGGAGTCCACGACTCCGCGCAAGCACAAGCGCTCAAAGAGCGAAGCGGTCCCTGCCGTCGAGGTCACCGAGCAGAATACAGATGAGGAAGCAACCAGACCCAAGAAGGACAAGAAGAAGAAGAAGCATAGGAAGAGCAAGGATGTTACCGACCCGGTCGCCCCCGAGCCAGAGCCAGCAGACACTGAGGTTGTGCCAGAAACACCCATAAAAGCCAAAAAGCCCCAGAAGGAGAAGCGCAGGAACAAGGAAAGCGCCGAGGATCAGCCAGAAGCTGTGGGAGAGCCCGAGGAGGGAGCCGATGTCGAGGTGCCTCAAAAGAAGAAGCGCTCAAGGAGAAAGCCGCAAGCAGATGAGATAGCGCAGAGCCCACAGCCCCAAGATGCTCGAGACAATAGCGGGGAGCCAGACAACGACGGCATGGACGTCGACGACATAGCAGTCCAGGCGGCCGGAGGCGTTCTCCAGCCGGCGCATGCGCCCGCCAACCCCGTGTTCCCCTTTGTCACCCAGACCGTCTCGCTCTATGTGCCGCTCTTCCCCTCAGGCTTCGACCAGCCGCTCACAAAAGTGGCCGAGCAGCACCTCAAGCCGCTGCTGAACCACTACTCTCCGCTCCTCAAGGGCGTCCTGCTCGACTACCGCCACGTCACCCTGGCCGAGACCCCGACCCGCGCAGACCCCCGCGCCCCGCCCACCGACCGCACCCCGACGGTGTTGGTGTGCCGGGACGAGTACGCAGTGGGGTTCGGCTGGCTCACCGCTGAGGTCTACCTGTTTAGGCCCCGCCGCGGCGCGTGGATGGAGGGCACCGTCAACCTGCACAGCGAGGGCCATCTCGGCGTCGTCTGCTGGGGCCGCTTCAACGCCAGCCTCGAGGCCAGGCGCGTGCCTCGCGGCTGGCGCTTCGTCGACGTTGTCCAGCGCGCCGAGGACGCCAAGAAGGCGCGCTTCCGCAACGCCGGCAAGAAGACGGCCGCCGCCGTCGCCGATGACGCCTCGGTCGCGTCGTGGCAGGTCAACGGCCAAGACGGGCCCAACAACAACAACAACGAGGACGAGGCGCCAGAGGACCTCGAGAACAGTCTGCAGCAGATGCATGCGACGGGCTACTGGATCGACGCCGAGGGCCGGCGCGTCCAGGGCAAGTTGCGGTTTCGCATAAAGAACTATGACGTGGGCACCGCCGGCGACCACGGCTACATCAGCATTGAGGGCACCATGCTGGACGAGGACGCCGAGCGGGCGCTGCTGGCCAAGGAGAAGGAACGCGAGCGGGCGCGCAGGGTGCGCAACAACAGGAGCGGCATGCTCACGCGCGAGATGCGCCCCGTGCCCAAGTTCAGCGTCACAAACTTTGGGCCCGAGGACGACGAGGACGACGGGCCCAAGAAGCAGCCCATGTACTTTGCGAGCAGGCCGGGCACTCCGGACGACTGATTGCCTGCGCGTAGTGGTAGCTACCTGCCTATTTAGTTTTGTCCAGCATGTGCTATGGAGTTGTGGTTGGCGTTGGGCTCTTTGCGTCTCGGTTCATGTCCTTGCTTGATGCCGTCAGTGTTCGTCAGGGGCATTTCTGGTGGTACTATTGGTGTACATGTTTTTGTTCTCGTCCACTTTTGCGATGCGTGCTGTCTACTGCTAATGTGATGTCTATATCTTGTATGTCTTGTCCATGCCGTCCCCGTGTTTTTGTTCTTGTGGCCATGCCGCCAAAGAACCGACCATCGGCTCTTTTGGATGTCCTCGCGTGTCCCTTTTCTTTTTTCCCCCCAGCCACCAACAGTAGTATCCTATCGCGTCGAGAAACGTTGTAGCTTCTTGATTATACCCAAAGTTTCTCATACCCCGTCGCTGATCCGCTATCTCATCAATTGGATTTCGCGACCGCGTGGTATGTAAAGGTATGGTTTGGTTTGTGGACTTGAATCTATCTGCTGTGGCATTTAAAGCAGGGGTCGAAGTTGTGCATTGGTCGCAGCTCCAGCGGTCGCCGAAAACGTTCTACCACACGGGGTCCAGTCATCGGCATCAGCGTCGTTGATGTGCCCATCTTCACCACGGTTAAGCAGGTACATCACCACAGCCGTCCGGCCGGCGGCCGCCGCGAGGTGCAGCGGTCGGCGGCCGATGTGGTCCAACGCGCCGAGCGGGTTCGCCCCGCCGTCGCAGCCCGTCAGCAGTTCGAGTTTGTCCATCGTGTCCTGGGCGTTGCCGCCGTCCTTCCTGGCAATGGCCATGTGGGCGGCGTTGCGGCCTTCACGGCCCGTCATCGTGACCGAAAGGCCGACCCCGCCGTCGCCGGGCCCTTTGCCCAGCACGAAGTCGAGCGTGTCTACGGGCGCCCGGAGCGCAGCCGCGCCCAGCAGCGTGCCATAGCTGCCGCCAACGACGGTCGGGTCGGCGCCCGAGTTGACTAGGAACGCTAGCATCCTACGCTTCTGGGTTGGAGTGGAGGGCCTGGAAGGATGAAGACGAGCGGGATTGGTTCACACGCGGCGCGGGACTGGGGTGGACACTTCCGCGGGCAAAGGTTGGGGAAGGGATCGATGATGGGGGGAAGGGGGATGAGGGGATGGAAGGGGAGGCAGGGACCGGCTCCGAAACCATGTCCTCTCCGGACTCAACATCCCCGCCGTCCACCTCGGAGTCCTGGGACTCGCTTTCGGAATCCGAGTCGTGGTTTAACCGAGTCACGCTGGCGGATGGGTAACTTAGCCTCGTTCGAACTCCCTTTGCGGTGAGAGTTAGATGTTGTCTTCGCCGCGGTAGTGCCGTCTTCCTCACCCCCCTGGCCAAACGCTTCGCGCGTCCATCCCGTGGCCAAAGCCTTTGGTGCGCCCCTTCTTGAACTCAGCCAGGCAGCGTTCCAGCATGACGGTGGCAAGCGCCCGCGTCCAGCAGCAGCGTGTCGCCGCGGGCGTCGGGATAGTTCTTGCCGGCCCCAGCGTCGAGTAGTAGGGCGACGACACGCTCCTCACCCCAACTGGCGGTGATTAAGAGCGCCTCCGAGAGCTGGTTCCGGTCCTCCTCCACGCCGCCGCCGGTGGCTGCCTCAACATTGTTGCCGTCGCTGCTCGTGCTCTTGCGGCGAATCTTGACCTCCATCTGCTCCGTGTGCGCCGCCGCCCGGCGCTCCCGGCGCGCCTCGACATGCGCTACGAATGGCTTGACCACTTTCAGGCGCAAGCGGGCGCTCGGCATGCTGAGCGGGGGCCGGTTGAAGACGGTAAGCGGCCACGGCTCGGCGCCCGCCTCGAAGAGCAGCCTGACCGCCCCAGTTTTGCCGGCCCCAACTGCCATGTGCCAGGCTGTATCTCCGCTCTACGACCTTCCTCATCGGCCGTGCTTTCCTCCCTAGCTCCCTTAACCAGCTCGACGCCGTCGTACGGTAACTGGTTTAGCCACATGCCGCCGTACCATAGCGACCACAGTCACAGCAACCGGGAGTACCTATCAGATCACAGTATGGGCTGAACGAGGCGGCCCTCGCCGGCCTCGGGAAGGAGCGGCTGGTAATGTGCTGCTACTTCTGGTGAGCCGAGCCATAGCCCCTCTTCGTGCAGCGACGGCGCGTTCGTCCGGATGTACAATGAGTCTAGGCGCCGCAGCGGCTGACACCGAGCGGGATGGTGAGCGCGTCGAGGAGGAGCCGTACCCGGTCGATGTGGGCGGCGCCAGCGACCAGCCGCCATGGCTGTCTGACGACGCCGTGTTCAAGTCGTAAGCTTATCAAGTTGTCATCCCTGGGTCCAGTTGCGTCGGCCAAGGACGTGGTCGTGCTAGAGCTAGAGTCCCATTTACTGCTGCTCCGACGAGTTAGTGCCATGGCTGAGGTGACGTAGCTTATGGCCTTGGCCTGCCTCTTTCAAGGCGTTTGTCGAGTAAGAAAGATCAATAGATACTAATTGAACACTCTGGTATTATATAGGTAATTTCTGTCCTGTTAGACAAGACTTGAATGAGAGGTAGAGGTAGGTGCCATGGAATGGAAACTGACAGGGAAGGCGCAGCCTTGGAAGACGTGACGAAAGCAGCCCCTTTGTAGTGCATACTAGGCAGCCGCGTGACGGCCTAAGATGAGCGATATCGCTGGCTGTAACCAACACACAACACAAGCGTCCAAGTTAAGCCCCCAAGTTCAGCGATCGAATCGGTGAAAGCTGGTAATGACCATTCCAGTGCTGCTCTCTGCGCATTTGGCCCCCGAGCTGCCGTGCAGTTCGAAGGCCGTCGTCCCGCCACATCCGCTGCCTCTCCTTCTGTTGGCCGATTTCACGCGACCCGCGACGCCTAGCATGCCGAGCTCGTTTAGAAACTGTACCCAGGCCAGAAGAGCCAGGAGACCAACAAGAACCGTGAAGCCAGTGGCATGTGGGCAGCGAAGCTGTGCATGGCATCGAACAAGAGGTCGAGACAGACGGAGCCGCCGCAGTAACAGCAGCAGCAAGGTCTGGCAAGCGCTGCCATCTCGACCGTCACGCCGGCCGCGGTGGGCACACAAGGGGGACAGGGAGACGCCGCTCGCGCCGCGTCAGCCAAGCTCCTGCCCCTGGTGCTCGTGCAGGCCTCACACGACCTCAAGACCTGCCTGCACCATGCCATCGATATCAACACTCCTGAGTTCGTCACGCGCACATCTGCGCCATCGCCCATGGCTACAGCACGGCCAGCGCTCTACGCACCGCCATCGGCTGGAGCAAGTCGTCGCAGAAGTTCTCCTTCATCCTAATCCGGCTGCTGAGCCCACGCGCAGGTCGTGCTCATAAGCCGCGGGCAGATCGGGGGATCCGACTCGGGCGGAGCTGCACGAGGAATACCGCCGCAGCAAGAGGTTAAAGGCCGAGGCGATCGAGGCGGGCTGGTGCCAAGGACAGCCCGAGGAGGATGCAGGATACATCCCCTCATCCAAAAAGCGGCGCGAGGTGCGGACCGGGCAGAAACGGCGCGATGAGACGTAGCGCGATTTCTGCTGCAGGAGGCCCACCTGCAGCCACACCTGGCTGGCCCTTTTCGGGAACCGGCCGCCTGGCTCCTACTTCGCTTTGAAGGCGGCGCCGCTGAAGCCGCAAACCCAGGACCGCCACGACTCGCTAACCTTCGGAGCCATCTTGGCCGGGGGAGCGTAGGGTGCGGCGAATCATCAAGCTCGTGGTCAACGACGACGCGGCCCTGCCCTGCTCCGACGCCACCATGGAAAAGCGCGGCGAAGAAGGAGATGAGCCCCATCACCGTGGCCGTGATGGATGATGGCGTAGCGCTAGAACTACCGCAAGCCGTACCCGGACAACAGGAACACCAAACGGATCAAACGCATCGGGTCGGTCGGTGGGTCAGAACGGCAATGCGTCGGCGATCACCAAGATGAAGCACATCGACTATCTGTTCCCCGGAGAGATTCCCAGCCTAAGAGGCCCGGCGACGAGCTCTTGGGCGTTGAGGCTGCATCTGAGCGCTGCTAGCGAACGGATAGATGGGACGGCAAGGCGAGCATGCGGGGTGGCGCCGTGGTTGGCTGACGGAGACTTCAGCCCGCTTGATGCAGCGCTTCTCCAAGCCTCGCTGGCGCATGGATACTTTTTCTTCTCTCCTCCCGGACTCATTACTTCATTCAGACTGGGCTGTTGCACACCAAACGGATGCAAAACGGATGCAAAAAGGAGAAGATGAAACGTTACATCCTGCATGACATTCTACATCAATAATATATCGACTACATTCTCGCCGCAGCGCCACCTACCATCATCACCTTACCTTCCATCGTCATCTTTAACCAGCGCCGCGGGCCATGGCGGGCCGCGACGTCGACCGACCGACCCGCGCGCCGTGCACCTTCTTCGCCCGGGGCCGCTGCACCAGAGGCGCGTCGTGCCCGTTTGTGCACGAGGTCGGCCCCGCCCCGAAGCCCATCAAGCCCTGCCACTACTTCGCGGCGGGGCACTGCGCACACGGTAATTCCTGTAGGTTCGCGCATAGCCGCGACAGGGTCGTGGCCGCCGAGGCGCTGCCGCCCAAGACCGAGGTCTGCCGGTACTTTGCGGCCGGGAGGTGCACCAAGGGAGAGGAGTGCAGGTTCGCGCACGTGAACAGGGCGGGGGCGCAGAACAAACCCACCCCCGAGGACCCGCGAAAGAGGGTGCCGTGCCACTTCTTCGCCGTGGGCGGCTGTCGCAACGGCGATGCCTGCCCGTTCCTGCACGACCTGGCGCTGCAGGTCGAGGAGGAGCTCGACCCTGTCGCCGAGGCGGCGCGCTTCTGTCTCGAGGTAAGTTGGATTTGGACATAAGAGCGTGAGGGGAGGTTGCTGATACATAGCGTTCCGTTTCTGGGTCGTCAGACCGACGACCTCGTCGACGATTGGATCCGCGTCATAGATGGGGCCGTCGTCAAGTTCGGCGATGGCGCCTCGGTCCAGACCATCTCGCTGGCGTCCGACTTCTCAGCCATCCGCCTCGATAACCTACCGTCGGGCAGCACCGCGACCTCGGTGGCCGGAGCGCTCCGGAAACTGGGGGTGCGCGTCCAGGAAGAAGACGTCAAGGTTAGGCCTGGTGTGGTCGGCGCCAACGACAGCGCCGACATCAAGGTCGAGGACCCGTCCTTTGCGGCGCGGGTTCGCGAAAGGCTCGCGGCCGGCGACTCGCGGCTGCGCGCCGCGCGCATCGACGTGCCCATGCCGACCGGGTCCAGCCTGCACCGCGTCGACTGCCGCCGCGTGCTTTGTTCGTGGCATAGCCCGCGCCGCACAGTCTGGCTTAACTTCGCCAAGGGAGACAAGGCCCTGGACGCCTTCTTCTACCTGCAAGCCAGCAAGATCCGCATCCAGGACCGCCTCGTCGTGCCGGGCGCTCCGACCGGCCCGCGCTTCGGCTGCTGGAGCCTCCGGCTTCCCGATATGAGCCCCGCCGTCGACGAGCGAGACTTTCGCGAGGCGCTCCCGCGAGGCATGCGGCCCGACCGCGTTTCGCTGGCCAGGCCGACGTACGACACCGAGGTCGACGAGGTCGCGGGCATGGTCGAGGGGATGCTGCGGAACGTCGGCCCGCTCGAGTCGTGGTGCGTCATGACGGCGAGCCAGCGCGGCAACCGCATCAAGGCGCAGGCACGGTTCGAGAGCGAGGCCGACGCCAAGCGCGCGGCCGAGCGGCTCAATGGCAGGGCGCTGCCCATGATGGACGGCGCCGACGGCAAGCCGTGCGACGACATCGAGCTCGCGGTCCAGCACGTGCCCGTCGCCGTCATCAAGGTGCCGAGACGTAACTACGCCACGCTCAAGGCGGTAGTGGACCGGCAGTGCGAGATCTGGGCCGGCATGTCCGGGGGCGCCGTCCACATCGCCGCGTACCCTTCGACGCACGTCCACGTCGTGCTACGGCTGCAGGGGAGCGATACCAGGATGGTGGCCGAGGCGCACGCCGTGCTGTCTGAAATATTCAAGGGCATCGAGCTCGAGGTCAGCAAAAGCGCTTGGAACACGGTGATCCAGAATCACGCGTGGTGGCGCGGCATCTCACAACGGATACGACAGGACTTTGGCGTGACGGTGGTGCGTGACAGGCGCGGGTCGCGGCTGCGTGTCTTTGGCGAAACGGCCGGCTACGAGCTCACGCGGCAGAAGATCGTCTACGAGGTTGAGAAGTGCCTGGCCGAGGCGCGCGTCATCGAGCTCGACGACAATGCCTACAGCTGGGCTTGCTGGGGCGGTGGTTTCAAGTGGCTGGTGGCGCGCATGGGCCGCGACAAGCTGGCCATGGACACCACGTCGACGCCGAAACGCATCCTATGTCTCGGCGGCTCAGAGAGCGATTACAAGGCGGTCTGGGATATCGTGTACGCCGGGAACACGAGCAGCAGTAGCAGCAGCAGCAGCGACGATAACACCCGCAGCGTTGCCCCTCCGCCATCGCACACCGACAACCCCATCCCAGACTGCTGCGTCTGCTGGACCGAGGTCGAGGACGCCGTGACGACGCCGTGCGGCCACGTCTACTGCGCTGGGTGCTTCGTGGGCCTCTGCTGCGCCGAGGAGGCGCCGGCCGATGCTAACAACACGGGCAGCCTCCAGATCACGTGCGTGGGCGATGGCGACACGTGCAAGAAGGCGCTGCCGCTCCCGGCGCTCAAGGAACACCTGTCGTCGGCGCAGTTCGAAAAGGCGCTGCAGGACGCCTTTGCGCTGCACGTGCGCCAGCACCCGCACGACTTTCGCTTCTGCCCGACCCCAGACTGCGGCTCCGTCTACCGCGTCCACCACGCCCGTGCCCGCGCCGAGCCGGGCGTCTTCACGTGTCCCGCGTGCATCCAGTCGACGTGCACGGCCTGCCACGGCGCGGCGCACCAGGGCTACACGTGCGCCGAGTTCCGGGACCAGGGTGCGGGCGGCCAGGAGGCGCTGGCGCGGGCCAAGGCCGAGCTGGGCGTGCACGACTGCCCGCGGTGCAAGACGCTGATCGAGAAGACGGAGGGGTGCAACCATGTGACGTGCTCTTGCGGCGCGCACATCTGCTGGAAGTGCCTGGCCGTCTTTGGCACGCCGGACCAGTGCTACGCGCACCTCAACGAGAGCCACGGCGGCTTCTTCGACGTGCCGCCCGACTCGGATGACTCGGACGGTCCGGATCCGGAGGACAGGGACTACGAGATATTCGATTAGTCAGGGCTGGGCAGAGGATGGCAAGATGGATGCGATCGATTTCCAGAGTTGTGCCCTGCCATCACCCTCTGCCTCTGCCGCTGTCAGGTACGCGAGGTAGACATTAGACCAGGGCGGCACGACCCGAACCAGGCACCATTCCCACGCAGGCCTCCTAAAAATAGTCGCGGAACCATCGAGTCTATTGCCGAATGTAGAAAGAAGCTGTACAGATATAGAAAGCCGTGTATGCAAGTCTCAAACGTGGGGTAAATCAGCCCAGGGGAAATAACGTAGTTGCAGTGTTGTGCCGGACAACAAGGGTTTTTTTTTTGGTCGTTTTTTTGCAATGGCCGGGCGCCGCCGAAAACCTTGCGTCTGTCCTGTTCTTCCACTCTGGGAAGCTATCCAGCAGCAGTGGTGGGGTAGCCCTCCAGCGCGCGGTGCTTGGATCGCGCCGGGAGAGCGCGTCTGCGTCGTGTGGGTGCAGCGAAGCCCCTGGCCGAGGGGGGCCGCCAGGGGTCCAAAACCCGATGCGGTCGTTTCGAATTCATTGCCAAAAAGTCTTGAGCCGATCAGAGCGCCGTGTTTACCGTGCCGCCCGGCCCGGGGTGGTGATAACGGTGCTAGAGCGGGACTACATAAACGAGAGTCGCCCGCCGTGGTCTGCAGGCTGCATCTGGAAGCATCACCAAGTCCAGCAGCTTCTCCTTACAGTTTACACCATTTCCTCCGTTTCTTTATTTTGTACTTTCCTTGGTATTTCTTTTGGTATTTTCCTCTGTCTGTCTCTATTTTTCTCTTTTGGATTTTCTTTCCCGATTTTTATCTCCGCTACTCAGGAAATGCGGCTCCTCGTCCTTCTTCTTGTCGCCGTCGAGGTCTCGGCCTTGCCGTTACATACATCGTGGTTGGCCTCCCGAGCCGAAGCGCCCACGGCCGACGTGATCCAAAAGACGGACAAGTACGCGCTGGACCTCTCGCTCAAGGAATTCAACAAGGTGGCCGAGAAGAAGGAGCCCGGGCTGGACTGGTCGACCGACGGCTGCTCCAAGGTGCCGGACGACCCGCTCGGGTTCCCGTTCAAAAAGGCCTGCGAGCGCCACGACTTTGGGTACCGCAACCTTGCCAACCAGGACCGCATAAACAGCGACACGAGGAAGCAGGTCGACCAGCGCTTCCGGAAAGAGTGAGTAGCTTCCGTTTCCATGTTGGGAATAGAATCAAGACGGCTAACACAACCCCGTCATAAATCTAGCCTGAAGGACACGTGCTCCGAGCAGGAAAAGGGCACCCGCACCGTCTGCAAGGTGGTGGCCGACACCTACTACGCCGGAGTGCGCGTGTTTGGCGGCGCGCACGCCAAGAAGAAGAACAACGGCAACGAGGCTGCCAAGGACGGCGCCAAGGAGGAGGCGGCCGACATCGAGGCGCGCGACGTGGACCCAGAGGCCTACGCCGAGTACCTGCGCAGGAAGGCCATCTCGGACGCCGTCGTCGCCGACGTGCTGGCAAGGCGAGAGGCGGGACTGCCGGACACGATGGAGGACGGTGACGAGATGGAGGTGAGGTGGTAAAGGGCCGGGTCCAGAAATTTGCTAGAGTACTTTTTTTTTCGTCGTGTTTAATTTTATAATAGATGATCTTATTGTTGTATCCAACGTCCATGCCACTGCAGCTCCCCGACGGAAAGCTACTAGACAAGCGTGACGGGACGAGACGGGACGAGAAGGACAAGAAGAACAAGCCTGGACTACTTCGGCCTAGAAGGCGGCCCGATGGCAGAGCCTCGAGCTGGGCGCAGACGACGGAAACATAAACATCAAATATCAGACCAATGGCGGGCCAGAGGCCTATCTTGGCAATCTCGAGCTATCAGAATCAGACAGGTGGGCTGGTGTCCAGGGAAAGGGTGGGATCGAGGTCAGAGCTTGGAATTGAGGGGGAAACCCCAGGGATTCGTAATGCCAACCCTGCGTCGCAGCCCTCGCAGCCCTCGCAAGCTGACTTATCACGGCCCAATTGGGCTGCCCAGATAGCGTCGAGTCAGTCACTGGGGTCGGTCGCTGGGGGCAGGTCCACCGGCCGCCGCGGTGGCACAGCTGGGGAATGACAGCACCGAACTGGGCAAGAAGGCACGCCCGACGATACTCGAGCTGGCTGCTGTCTGGTCCGGATGGGGCTCTCAGATGGAGCTCCAGTCCCCAGATGGAGCCTCGTGCGGGCCTAATCTGGGCACCACCACCCTCATCACCAACCCTCACCAGAGCCACCACAACCTACCCCGGCCCTAGCGTCGCAGTGCAGCAGCCGAGCTAACCCTTTCGAACCGACCCTCTGAGCTAGCGCGCTCCGAATCTACCCTCTCCGAGGTCGCGACGTCGGGGAAATGCATGGACGGGCATATACATGGGGGCTGCTGTGCTCCTCTGCTCCTCTGCTCCTCTGCTCCTCTGCTCCTCTGCTCCTCTGCTCCTCTGCTCCTCTGCTTCTCTTTTTTGTCTCGTCTTCATTGCTTGCTGCTCCGACACGCCTCCCAGCACCAGCCAGAGCCAGAAGCGTTCCTCCCGCCCTGAGCTTATTTCTCCTCACATCGTAGGCAGGGGAGCCTGGAGCTTCGGCCATCGTCGGCAAACACCCCGGCACTGCGTCGGCGGGGTAGAAACAAACAAGAAAAGGAAGAAAAACAGCCAACACCATGGCTGAGCCCGCCACCGAGCGCCGCACGGCCAGCGTCGCCGACGAGATGGACGAGAACCGCCTGGCCCAGTTCGGCTACAAGCAGGAGCTGAAGCGCGACTGGGGGCTGACGCACAACTTTGGCGTGTCCTTTTCCATCATTGTGCGTCCCTTGTCCTCCTGACTGCGTCTGACTGACTGTCACCCTACCCTCCTTCTGCTCTTACTGACCCCAAAACCAGAGCGTCATCACCGGCATCACCACCCTCTTCGAGTATGGCCTCAACACGGGCGGCCCAGCCGTCATGTCCATCGGCTGGATCGTCGTCTCCTTCTTCACCCTGATGGTCGCCATCGCCATGGCCGAGATCGTCTCGGCCATTCCCACCTCGGGCGGCCCCTACTTCTGGGCCGCCATGCTGGCCCCTCCGCGCTGGTCCCCCTTCGCCGCCTGGATCACGGGCTGGTTCAACCTGCTGGGCCAGGTCGCCGTCACCACGGGCATCTCGTTCGGCCTGGCCGGCCTGGCCGCTACCGCCGCCACGGTCCAGAACCCGGATTACCAGCCCACCCCGGCCAAGACTATCGGCATCTACGCCGCAATCCTGGTCTCGCACGGCGTCGTCAACACCTTTGGCGTCCGCATCCTCAAACACCTCAACAACGTCTCCATCTTCCTGCATTCGGCCGGCGTCACCGCCATCTGCATCGCCGTGCTGGCCAAGGCTCCCACCCGCCAGCCCGCCTCTTTTGTGTTTGGACACTTCAACGACGGCACCGGCGCCGACGGAGCCGACGGCTGGAGCATCCGCGCCAGCACTGCCTACGTCGTTGTGTGCGGCGGCCTACTGTCTCAGTACACACTGACGGGCTTCGACGCGTCGGCCCACTTGAGCGAGGAGACGCGCAATGCCAGCTGGAGCGCCCCCATCGGTGTCGTGTCCAGCGTCGGCTTCAGCGCTCTGTTTGGCTTCTTCGTCCTCATGGCCATGCTCTTCAGCATCCAGGACTTTGACCGCACCGTCGCCAGCATCTACGGCCAGCCCATCCTGCAGATCCTGGTCGACGTCTTTGGCGAGAGGGGCGCCCTGGCCGTGTTTTCCCTGATCATGAGTGCGTGGCTTGTCCGTCGTCTTTCTGTCTGTGAAATATCGGCTAATCTTCGTCTTCGTCCCACCAGTCTGCGTTTGGCACTGCGGTCTGTTCAGCATGACCAGCAACAGCCGCATGATGTTTGCCTTTGCCCGCGATGGCGGCATTGTAAGTCGCGTCCCTCCACCGTCTCATCCCATCCCCCCTCATCTGTTCTCTCCGTCCGGCTGCTGACAGTTTCTCCTCCTGGCAGCCGCACTTCTTCCACCAGGTTGACGAGCGCTTCAGCTCTCCCATCCGCGCCGTCTGGCTCGCTGCCGTGCTGTCTTTTATCCTGGCCCTGCCGTCGCTCGGCAGCTCCGTCGCGTTCGCGGCTGCCACTTCGATCGCCACCATCGGGCTATACATCAGCTACGGCCTGCCCATCCTCATTGGCCTGATCTGGCACGACTCCTTCGTTGCCATGAAGGGTCCCTTTGACCTCAAGGGCTGGTCGCGGCCCGTCGCCATCCTCGCCTCGCTATGGATCGCCTGCATCACCGTCGTTTTCTGCCTGCCCACCGCCAACCCCGTCACGAGCGAGACCATCAACTACACGGTCGTCGCCGTCGGCATCATTGCCCTCGGCGCCACCCTCGCCTGGGTCGTCTGGGCCCGCAACTGGTTCACGGGCCCCGCGCCCGAGGTGGCTGAGGCCATGCGCCTGGGCGTCGACCCGACTGAGCCTGGTGCGCTGGAGAAGAAGATGGCAACGGAGCAGTCGGTTGGCGGGAAGAAATCCAATGCTGCCGCCGACAACTCTAGCTAAGGGCGGGGCAATCCCTCCCACTTCGAGTCGCTATGCGCTAGTGAGGGGTTGAAGTAGCTCGCTAAGCCTAATATTTGTGTGAATAGTTAGATTCGAGGATTCTATTACCCTACGAGGGTGCCTCTGCTCCAGATAGCGCTGTATCAAACCCTGTTTCTGCAACCTTGTCCACAAATTCTGCCAGGTTGGCGCCTTGACCATGGCATGGAGAACAAGGCAACCACACGTCTCCCGTATACGGGAACACCGGCCCGACGATCCTCAGCATACGATGCCCCGCAGACTCGAACCCAGTAGCCGGGAAGGGCGTCGCGCTCGGATACGACGTTGGATGCCAATCCTGCCGCCTTTGCAAGCACACGCTAGCGACAGATATCACACCCTTCCTTTCATCTTCAACCACGATTGACCCCTGAGATCGACTGGCCCTGAGAAGACTGCAAAGAAGGGTACGCGCCAAGTGTTCCAAAAACGTGCCTCGCATACCCACCACAAAATATAGCAGTTCCTTGGAGGAATATGAATAGGAATAGGTATGACGATAACAAAAACAATAATAGAAATACGAATAGAAACAGGAATAACAATAGGAATAGTAACAGGGGAACAATAAAAAATAGGAAAGCTCATGGCAGAAACAATTCTACTTACCCAATCTTTGGGACCTCCTGTAAGACTGCCGTGCCTCGCTTGACGACGTTCGAAGGGAGCTTGGAATTTTCCTTCTCCCTTGCGTGCCTACCATGACCTGAAATGGCAGGAGTGTGACGAGGATGCGAGTCCGGACCATTGTCACGGTCCCGGACATCCCAACGTCCAAACAATACCAACAGGCAACAAAGGAATCGACGGGACTTGGACAGCCTGGATCACTGCATGACTGCAACATTAGGTGATGGAGAGCCGTTGGCGCTCCAACTAGCCAGGCTCAAATAGCATCCCTTCAGTCTTTGGGGAAGCTGGGGGGGTCAGGCTGGGTTGGAAGAGGGTAGAAGGAGGGTAGGACAATGGCGCAAAAAAAGCAAGAGCGTGAGGGGTTAAAACTTGGATCTTGGCTGGCACCGGGAGGTCGCAAAAGTGCATTTAAGGATGGCAGCGGCCGTGCTGTTCGGTCGCTCTCGCTCTCGGTCATTGAGAACATCGTGGGCGACCTCGCTAGCTGCCTCTGTCCCCATCCCATATCTGCCCATCCACATCATACTTTGATTCTGATTCCTGATCCTTTTTTTTTTCGCTGCCGTCCGAGCCATGGCGCCTTCTCAACTTCTCCCCGACCCTCTGCCCGTGCTCTTCAACGGAAGCAAGGCTATCCCCAAAGCCACTCCCAAGGCCGCTCCCAAGGCCGACACCAAGCTTGTCGACCATGCCACCATCCTTGCGGACGAGGGCGTGAGGGGGCTCGTCGCCCAGCTCCGGCAGCGCGGCATCCGCGTCCACGAGACGGACGGGGTGTCCTTCCCGGCCGAGGCGGCCATGCACGACCGCGCGGCCGTTGTGCCGGCCGTCGTGGTGTCGCCGCAGAGCGAGTGGGGCGTGTCGCAGACGCTGGCGCTGCTCAAGGCCGCGGGCCTGCACGGGCGGCTGCCCGTCTCGGTCAAGAGCGGCGGGCACGGCTACTTCAACGGCGCGACGTGCGCGGGCCTGATGATCAACCTGAGCGGCATGACCAAGCGCCGCGTCGAGGGCGACACCATGTACCTGGAGCCCGGCTGCGTGCTGGGCCAGACCATCCACGCGCTGGCGGCGGCCCGCAAGGCCGTCCCGCACGGCGACTGCTTCGGCGTCGGCGCCGGCGGCCACTTCTTGACGGCCGGCTGGGACCTGATCCTGGGCCGCAAGCTCGGGCTCGGCTGCCAGTCCGTCGTCGGCGGCCGCGTGGTGCTGTGGGACGGGACCGTGGTCGACGTCGACGAGGGGCGCGCCGACCACCCGGAGCTCCTGCACGCCATGCGCGGCGGCGCGGCCGCGGGCGTCGGGGTCGTCGTCGAGACCCGCCTGCGCCTCGTCGAGGAGCCGCCGCTGGCCACGTGGCGCTTCACGCGCCTGTCGCGCGCCCAGCTCGAGGTGTGCGTCGCCGCGGGCGCCTTTGCAAAGGCGTACGGCCTCCCGCGCGACGTGTCCGTGTCGTTCCGCTTCCACTTTGAGCCGGACCAGCGCGCGCCCGTCGCGTCCTTCAACATCGTCAGCCTGCTGCCGGCGCGCGAGACGGTGGGGCTGGTGCGGACGCACATGGGCGACGACGTGGCGGCGCTGCTGGTGGACGGCGACATGGCGGGGGCGGGGGCGGCGTGGAACGAAAAGTCGCTCGTGGACCTGCGCATGCTGCCCGCCTCGGACTTCCTCGCCGCCAACCCGGGCATGCTGGGCGAGGTGACGGCCGAGGCGCTGCACGCGAGCCCGCTGACGTACTGGAAGGCCACGTCGAGCGCGCGCGAGATGGCCAGCTCGCACTTCACGAGCGTGTCGGGCTGGGTGGTGCCCGAGTGCGAGGGCGGGCTGCTGGCGCTGTACGATAGGTTCGCGTCGGCGCAGGACTCGCCCGCCCGCACCCGCATGTACGCGCTGGTGATCCAGGGCGGCGGCCGCATGTCGGAGCTGCAGGCCGACTGCAGCATGCCGCTCGGCCGCGCCCTGGCGCGCTTCGAGCTCCACTGGGACGAGCCCGGCGGCGAGGAGGAGCGGTGGGCGCGCGGGTTTACGGACGGCGTGCTAGATGTTATGCGCGAGCACGAGGACCGCGACGTGCCGCGCCCGTACCGGGGCGATATTTGGCTGGCCGAGCAGGCTGGGGACGAGGAGCTGGACCGCATCGCGCGGCTGTACGACAGGCGGTTTTAGGGAGGGGGAAGTGCGGCTGATGGTGCCCAAGTGGGTAGCCCCGGAGCCTCAATGGATGACAAAGCCTTTGGAGGAAAAAGGTCCCGGTTCCGTGTGCTTTTGTTTTGTTTGTTGTTTCCTTCTCCGTTGTCGGCTGGCCAAAGCAAAAGCGTGGCTGTCTGGCAGAATTCTTCCACTCGGGCGGCGCTTGGAAATGATGTGCTGTCCACTTTGCGCTTTTGCTTTTAGGATGTATTGACGCATGCCGTTTTGCCTTGCAGGTGCCCGTTTCTCAATATATTCATGCAAGGTGTCGGGCTTTTCCTCGCCGCTTGGGCAGAAGCAGCTGTGGAAACGTTGTCTTGTTCTGCTTAGCCCAGCTCGCCCGTCGTCAGTTATCACATTCCGGTCCTGGCAGTCAGCCGCAAAATCCCGCACAAGCAGCGTTGGGACACTAATGCCGGCCTGTGGAAGTCTGTGGAAGCTGCTCCCTTTGCCACGTGTTTCTACCACTGTCGATCGAAAATTTCGGTCCAGGACGTCAGGCTCCCCCATATTGGCCAAAGACGGAGCTCGTGTCCATAGCGGAAGGTGAGAACGAAGGCCGAGGCAGCAAGCTGCAGGACAAAGACGTCGCGAAATGACGAGAAGGTCGTGGCATCGCAGCGCAGCGAGGTGAAGTAGAACTGCATGGCCGTGGTAGGCCTCTCCCATTAGAACGGCTCCTTCACTGTCGGCCGGACAAGACACCCCTTCACTCTCGCGGTTAGCACCAGTATGCCATGAACCTGCTATTAGCCGCATGGGGGCGCACTCTGCCGCCGTCATCCCAACTCCAACCGTAACCCCAACTAGAGCATGTCCGGTCGGCTCAATGGCGGGATTGGCCGGCTGTGTAACGCTTCGACGACTACAAAGCAAGATTCCGGGGCATGCGCCCGCCATATTAAAACCACTGCGCAGGTGCTCCGGGAACGGGCCAGCGATCTCGAGCAGGTCGTGGCCTCTTCCCAGCGGCAATCCGCAGCCCAAGGCTCGCGATCGTTAACAAGATGGTCGGCCGGGACCTCGGAAGATTTGATGAGGCCGTTTTTCACTGGGATCGTGAGGACTACCGAGGCTCGTCTATGGAGGCCTCGCGGAAGCGGTGCTTAAAGGAAAGGCTCAAGTGGCATACTTTCAAGGGGATGTAACCGGTTGGCTTATGGGACATATAGGACTTGGCGACACGTATGGCTTTGTATAGATTGGCATTTCCTAGGTTAGGCTTGTGCGATATGTCGTTTGTCAACAACCTGCTTTGCCTTGGGCCTGGGCTGTCCTATGCCTGCTCAGGCTCTCCGCCTGCCGTCCACGCCAAAGGCCCGTGCCGGGTTGGTAACAAACATGTGCTCCCACTGGTCGTCGGTGAGCCATTCCCTTAGCAGCTCCAGCTCTGCCCCTGTGTCGACGCCCCGCAAAGGAGGCGCCGGAGCCAGACCGGTGGCAGTGGCGTTCACGTGAGGCCAGCCGCTGCCCCATAGCAATGCATCAGGCGCGGTGCTGGCAAACGTCTCGATGATGGGTCTCATTGCCGACAAGTTCCCGGGCGACCGCCTGTGCAGGGCGCCCACTTTAACGTAGAAGCGCCCAGAGCGCAGCAGGCGCAGGAATGCGTCGAGGTCGGCGGACCCAATATCCTGTGGCCTGGCGGAGCCGTTGTGGTCGGCCACAAATACGGCGTCGGCCAACAACGGGCCGTTGAGTATGACATCGGCCAGGACGGCCCACATGACGAGCGACAGCTGCGACGTTACCAGCCAGCCCAGGCGGCGGATGGGAGCCTGCGCGACGGCCTGGACGAACTGCCCTTGCACCCAGGTGGCGTTGTCGTCGCCCGATCCACCGTACGAGCCGTGGATGCGCAGGCCTCGGACGCCCGCGCCGTGCAGCGCGTCGTAGCCGGCGTCCGTCATGTCACGTAGGGCCGCGTCCGAGACCATGTCCTAGGCCACGATGCCAAGCACGGTGCGCTCCGGAGCGAGGGCACGGGCCTGGCCGAGGTGGTCGAGGAGGCCGGCGTGGCCGTCCTCGACGGTGGCCTGGACGACGATGGCGTTTTCGGTCAGGGCGTTGTTCATGAATACCGTCATGGGCGCGGCCTCGGGGGTGTAGGACCGGGTGGGCTTGAAGGGATAAGCCACGGGGTCGAACAAGTGCATGTGGCAGTTCCATGCCATGGCAGGCAGCTGGACGGTGGTGAGAGCCATAATGTCGACCGGAGATGGTGCGGTGATGTTGGAGTAGCTCGAGTCTCGTCTAGACCGGTGCGGTTTCCAGGCATTTTGTGTGTCGCGCGACCTCGGCAGCGGTGGCCTTCACCGAGAGAGTCGGGGCGGCTCCGACGACATCGGGCTCTATCCGAGATGGGTAGGTGGAGACTAATTACCCCACAAGATGGGGTATGTGGTCTGGGGAACCAATCTTGGCAGAATCAAGGTCGTGTCCAGCAAGCTGGCACCGTGTCTGGGCACGCGTAGGGCATCGATGGCTTGCAGAGCCAGGGCTCGCTGGCAGATGTACTTGGCCAAAAACGAAAAGACGGTGCAAGCAGCGCCAGGACTGCCCTGGCTGGCGAGGATACCGCAACCCTAAGATCGAAATACAAGCGCTGGCCACCTCATCTTCGCCTCTTTGCCCATCGCCCCGAAAAGACTGGCATCACGACCTCGGTGCCAGATAAGGAGTCGAGGATAGCCTTGTTCACCAAAGCTGCCAAGAAAGACAACACGCATCGAGAAGCATTGGGCTCTGTCCCATGCTTGGACATGCTGGAGTGTGCTCGTTTCGGAGTAATGGAGGCTGCCAGGACGAGCCGAGGAATGGACGACGACCTTGCAGTGGGGTGCAAAACATGATATCCTCCGCCAGTCGCTTACTCGGCCGCGTCTGCCATGGTCTCGTCTCGTCAAACGATTGGGCAAGTTGACGGCAGCTGCCGCGTGCGCCAATGAAGAGGCTGTGGGGTGTGAACGCGGGGTGTCGTCGTAGGGAATGGGGCTCTCTGGTGGTGAGCCCCGCCACGTTTGCCAACGCCTGAAAGCTGGAAGGACCCCTCATGTCCCTCTGGTGCCCGACAGACCGGAAAAAAGAAAGCAGATGGCAAAAGAAAAGACGCGCCAAAGTCACGCGAACAGCACACCTGACTCAAACACCCAAGCTAATTTGCAGCGTGGCGTCCGATTGGCGAAGGCCAACCGTTCCCAGATGGCGGCTTCTTATCTCGCTATCAGCACCAGTGCGCAATTGGACTTGCCGGGGCAGGAACCGAAAGATTACGGGGGTGGCTCCACCGTTTTTGCTACTACAACGCAGAGAAAATTTGTTGAGAGCAACATAACCCACAGGGCGGCAGCCAGCCTCTTTCTCTGCAGCCGCCAGCCAGCCACTGCAAAATCCCTTTTCCATGCGCTTGTCAGGCGCAACGGCGGCGCTGCAGCAGAGCTAGCCCAAAGTGTCGGGTGCGCGAGGCGGCGGGAGGCGAACCGTCTAGCATTACTAGCCCGCGCGAGTCTCTCGCGCCTGGATCCGGGCAGGAGTTCCCGAGGGAAAAATGTGTTGGCTTGTCGTGCCTCTGCCTCTGCCTCTGCTCGTTGCACGTGTCAGGGGCAGCGGCGCATCACACCGCATTGCAGAAGGCGTCGCTGATCTTGCCCAATCAATTTGACATGTGCACCGTGCGCCGACAACGGCTTCGTTTTCTGTGTTTTTGCTTGTGTGTGCCCCCTTTTTGTCTGTTCGCTCGTGCTGGTTCACCCCGTGCGTGCTTGTTCCGTGTCCCATCCGCCCGTTCTTTTGGGCTTCTCTCCAATCTTTGCAGCTCTGCCCTGACCTGACTGACTGCGACTGCCGCGGCAGACGGCAGACGACGCGCTCAATCCAATTCTGTTGGGGCTGCAAGCACATGCCCACCCGCAGCCTGTGCCCACAACCTGTGCCCACACGACAGGGGTCACAGTGCACCGCGGCGGCCTTCCATTCCAGATCTCTTGGCTGTGGTGGGCTTGGGTACCCTTGTTGAGGGTCCTGCGTTCTTGGGGCGTTTCTGGCCTGCTCGAAACCAACAACATGGGTCCCGACAGGAAAAAGAAAGGGCAGAAAAGGGGCGGTTTGTGAAAAATTAAAAATGAGGGTCGAAATTCTAAAAAAAAAAAAAAGGGTCAGGGCGGGAGCACAGGCGAGCTACCGAGGTACACTTTTTTCTTGTCGACTCCCCGCGTAAAAGCTCCGGCAGGCAAAGGAGAAAGGAAAAAAAAAAAAAAACAAGAAGACGAAAAGGAGCAAACACGACCGGATCGTAGGCTAGACCGGGTCTCGGAACCTCTCCCTCACTCGCAGACTCCCTGCCTGACCGTCTTTTGCTGGCTCCTCTTTCTCCACAAGCGGCCGCTGGCTTTGCTGTCCCTGTCTCCGTCTCCCCTCGCCGCCTCTTTATTTCCCCCTCTCCCGCTCTTTTCTTCCTTCCCTTCCCACTCCTCTCCAGTCTTCACTTCCCCACCACCTTCCATCCCACTGCCGCTTCACCCAGGAGCCATGTCGGTGACCATGACCCAGAGAGCCGCCGGCGGCCGGGCTGCCGCCAAGTGCAAGCCAGAGATCGCGGAACAGCAGTTCCCCGACATCAACACTCTGCGCAACGCCATCCCCGCCCACTGCTTCGAACCGTCTGTAGCCATCTCGATGGGCTACCTGGTGCGCGACCTGTGCGTGATCTCGGCCCTGGGTTGGGCCGCCCTCACCTACATCCCCCAGATCCCCGACGTTTACGCCCGCTGGGCCGCCTGGGCCGCCTACGGCTTCGTCCAGGGCCTATTCGGCACTGGCCTGTGGATTCTGGCCCACGAGGCCGGCCACGGCGCCTTCTCCAAGCACGACCGCTTCAACAACATCGTCGGCTGGGCCGCCCACTCCATCCTAATGGTGCCCTACTTCTCGTGGAAGTACTCGCACCACCGCCACCACCGCTTCACCGGCCACATGGAGAAGGACATGGCATTTGTGCCCGCCCAGGCCGAGGACCGCCACGCCCGCGCCTCCTTCTTCTCGCGCATTGGCGTCGACTTGGACCTGCTCGAGGACACCCCGATCTTCAACCTGGTGCGCCTCATCTCGCACCAGCTCTTTGGCTGGCAGATCTACCTGCTCTTCAACGTCACCGCCGGCAAGGAGAGCAGGCAGTGGAAGGGCGCCAGCTGGTTCCGCCAGAGCCACTTTGAGCCCACCAGCGCCGTCTTCCGTCCCAGCGAGGCTCTCTTCATTGCCATCTCGGATCTCGGCCTGGCGATCACGGGTTCCGCCATCTACTACGGCTCCACCATTTACGGCTGGGAGAGCATGTTCCTACTCTACGCTGTGCCCTACATGTGGGTTCACAACTGGCTGAGTGAGTTTCCCTCCCGCTCCGACTCGTCTCCCCTGACTTTGTCCAGAAGCTGACTCGATTCGCCCCTGTCCGAAACACAGTTGCCATCACGTACCTGCACCACACCCACCATGACGTCCACCACTACGACGCCGACAACTGGACCTTTGTCAAGGGCGCCGTCGCCACCATTGACCGCGACTTTGGCTTCATTGACCGCCAGATATTCCACGGCATCATTGGCACCCACGTTGCCCACCATCTGTTTCCGTAAGTGCTTTGCCGCCGCTGCTGCTGCTGCCACGTGACAGACACCCTCTGACAACACCCCACCACACAGTCGTATCCCCTTCTACTACGCCGAGGAGGCTACCGAGGCCATCAAGCCTGTCCTAGGCGACCTCTACCACTGCGACGACCGCAACTTCATCACGACTCTCTGGCACACCTTCACCTCATGCAAGTACGTTGTGCCGGACCCCAAGGTCCCTGGCGCCCTTAAGTGGGCCACCAACTAGACTAGGGCAACTAGACAAGGGGAATGGGGAATGGCTCAGCCTCCTCCCCGCCGGAGGATTTGGGCGCCGGCACTTTTTTGTGGGCATGGCGTTATCGCTCGTTATCTGCAGCCCAGGCGGTGTGGAAGAATTCACATCCCGCCCTGCGCTGCATTTTCAGGATTCATGCAGGAAGGGCCTCGCTAGCGCAAGCGTCATGCATGTCTCGACATCGCTCCGGTTGTTCTTTGCCTTTTCCACGCTTCATCATTTTAGACTTGATACACAGACGGACAGGCACACATGGTTGGGCTAGATAGAGGGCGGATCACGCAACAATAGATTTGGCTCATGTTTTTTTCCACATACTCGTCCTGCGTTGAAGACATTCAAACCAAAAGGCCTCGGGCTAATATCCGTTGTCGTGTTCTGGAGAAAGTGATTTTGCCAATGGAGGCAACGGCCCCCGTAATTCGCTAGCACATGCTCCAGCACCAAAGGACGGGCCCAGCCTATGATCGTGGCCATTGCCACAAAACACAACCTGCTGAAAAATAAGCGGCTTTCCCACCAACCACCAACCACCATCGAGCAAAAGGCAAGGGTGGGTGGGTGTGCATCAAGTTGCACCCCCTGGCCCCATCAAACTTTACCAGGCGGCAAGAACCCTAATCCAGCCCTCGCCCGCACTTCAGCCGCCTGCGCTCAACCCTGCCACCTTTCCCATCTCCCATCACACCGGTTACATAAGCGTGACACCACAATGCTCACTGTCCGTGTCCACAGGCGGGTATTTTGATCCGCAAGCCCCCTAGGAAGAGCCCTATCGACCGCCCTCGCGGTGCCGCATCCTACTCCACGTGACCTCTCTTGTGGGATGGTTCCAGGTATTCCAGCCGAATGTCCACGACAACAAGCATCTTCCCGTGCCTTGGACATAGGCCTGCCAGTATGTGCACCTAAAAGCCATGTTTCCCTTGCATCTCGGGGACGTGGAAGCGGGATTGGCGCATTTAAAGGATGGATCTTTACACGCGTGTGGGGTGGCATCGCATGAAAGTATAACTGAGCGACGATCTGCAGTGCTGACCGGAGCCCAGGAGATTCGTAGCTGGCTCTCAAGTTCAGACAGGGACTAAGCAACTTTATTTACCCAACACTATATTACATTCACCGGTTCACGTAGCCCAGAGGTCTGCGTCCTGCGGGGGCCGACCCACAAAAGCCATGAAACCACTCGCAGCAGGCAAACGACAAGTTTGTCCTTTCCACGACAGCTGTGGTAGCTCATGCTGCCGCTAGTGACCGTTGTTATTATTTCCCTTCGAGCAGCACTTCTAGAAGACAGTTCGAGATCTGCTCCAAACGTATAAGGACCGTACCTTGCCGACCCCTCGGCGGCACGGGGAAACGGCACTGAGTCGACCTAATGGATGGCCTACGAAACGTCGTTTTGGGCGAGCGAGCCTCGCCCGCACATAGGCTTTCTGTATTGGCGCCGGGTCTGTACTCCTCGGATTCTTGGGCCAAGCAAAATTCGGCAGCACCAAGGCCGGGGAGGGAGTGGACGAGCGCGTGTGGAAGGAGATATCGCGCGCCATTCTCGACTGCTTTGGCAACCACTCCAGGTGGCGTACATCAGGAAGTTCCTACGCAAGCCCGAGCTCGAAATTGGGGCCGAATACCTGTTGAAGCGATCGCGGCCATCAACACCGCGGTGAAGCGTCGGCGGCGGCTCGACAAGACCAACAGCGCGCCCGCACCTGCTCCAGCACCTGATCGGCGAGGGCCGCAAGCCCGACAGCGACATCCCCATAAGTACGCGCGAAATCGTCGGCCAGATGGTCGAGATCTTTCTCGGGGGTTCCGAGACCACGTCGACCAGCATCGCGCGCTTGTTTCTCAAGTTTACCCGCAACCCGGACGTGTGGGTCAAGCTGTTGTTATCGTTGGAGCTCCAGGCCATACGTCGCGATAATCCGGAGTGCCGCCACAGCGCAAGTGCATCGAAACCTACATTAATGAGAACTTGTGCCTGCGCCCCGTCGCATGCGAGATGGGCCGCCGCACGGGGGACCATTAGGTTACGCTCCTGGGCTACAACCTGCCGCCCTACACCCCAAGGCCAGGCTTGTACCGCAGCCTGCACCGCACTGGGACTTGCTGGGCCGGCCCTTGCGCTTCTGACATGCGCGCATGCCGAGATAGAAGACTCGCTTCTCTGCGTGGAGAGTCTTCGTACGCATCACTCGCGGTGTTAACAGCTGTGTGACCCTAGGGTGTGCAACAAATACGACAAGGCCAAGGCTGCACGCACGGGTGTTTAAAAGACGTCTTTTGATGATTGATAGTAAAGGAGTGGAAACCTAGGATCGACTAGGTGCAAAGCTAAAAGAGAAGAAGAAGATCCTGTTAAGCCCGCCCAGCCACGCATCGCTGTCTCTCCGCCTTCACAGCATGCCCGTCGTTCAAGAGTCTCGTGGTGGCGAAACCTAAGCCTTGACGCACTTCCAGCTGCTGCCCTTGTTGTTGACGGCCGAGGGCAGGTTGGCGATGCCGTTGACACCAAAGGTGGCCTTGGCGCCCCCGCAGTTCTTGTTGGCCCAGATGGTGCAGCTCCAGCCGCGCTGCGCCTTTGCGCTCGAGACCTTGTTGTCGAAGGCACCGGCGAAGTCCTTGCACTGGCCCGGATCGGCCTTGGCCTCGAGCTTGGAGCCCTGGAAGTTGGTCAGGTCCCAGGCCGTCATGAGGTGCTGGTCGCGCGCCTCGACCGTCTGGCCCTCGGAGGGCGCCGCCAGGGCGGCGGGCGCGAGGGCCAGGGCGAGGGTGGCGAAGAGGGTAGAGAACTGCATCTTGAGGTTGGTTGAGGTGTTTTGTTGTATAAAGACTGGTGGGCTGAATGACTGGATGATTTGGATGTCTTTGTCTTGTGTTGGAGCTAAGTAGAAACAAGACATGACATCGTTTGGGAAGAGCAGCATGCCATTTTTATATCTTTTTGTTCACATAAATAAGCGCGGGCCGTGGGACAGCAACTGCCTTCCAATGTCCCTCAAAGGCTCTGGCCATTCCCACCAAACGTAGGATCATCATTCCGCAGCCATGGCCGGAGGAACGCAGCCAGCTAGGAGCCTCTTGCTGAGATGAGATGCCATCATGATGGCCTAAAGGCTGGCCAGTACGGCGCGGGTATCCAATCGACACAGTTTCTCAGTGGTTTACCAGAAGCTAGCCCACGTGTATCGTATACAGATGCTACTCCTACTGGCGAAATTGCGTGCTCTCTGCATGTCAGATGACTCCTTCGTCGTAAATAATAGCAGGTGTCGACTACAGCCGGAAGTCACGATTAATTTAAGCAGCATATCCGTCAGCCAAACCGCACCGCCACCTCCTGGAACCATGTTGGGCTACTGGTAGTTCGCCTCGTCGATTGGGCACCTTCTCTTTCCTTTGCCAGAAGTAACTCAACAAAGCCGAGGTCTTGTTTTGCCCATAATCCTCTAGGTCTGCAGATTTTGTCAGACCCAACGTGCCACAGCAGATAATCCTTTAGGGACTTGTGTTCGTTCTTGGGCATATTTCCGGAAGCCGTTCGTAATAAAACCTGACGAGAGCGTTCCATGTTCGAACACAGCAGATGCACGTCAGGCTGACTTGTGACATTGTGTTCCCAGGAGCTGCTAATAACGGAGAATTCCATAGCAAAGTTTATAGTGTCTTTTACGTTATATGAGAAGTGCCCCTGAGCAGATGCGCAGGATGCAGCAGAGACAAAGTTCTTCCCCAGATGTTCGTTGGTTGCTGACCTCAGCATGTCCAAATTGGCCCGCCTGGAGCCCCGCGTCAATCCACTGCATGCGGGCCTGCCCAGCCCCTTTACTTGCGCGGTGCACACACCAAACATCAACAGCCCAGCCAGGATACACCGCAGCATGGCAGGCTGGCGCCAAGCCAACGAGGGCGACATCCCAGGCATTCTTCTTGTGGCCAACGAGGTTCACGCGGACTTACCTGAAGGCGACTCAGTGTTTGAGGAGCGCCTCCGACTTTTCCCAGAGGGTTGTTTGGTCCTTGCCGATGGCGGCGACATCTTCGGCTACGCTCTGTCCCACCCCATACGACGAGGTCAGCCACCAGCATTAGACAGCTTGCTAGGGTTAATCACGCCCAGCGCGGACCAATTCTACATCCACGATTTGGCTATCCTCCGTGCCTGGCGCGGGAGAGGGCTTGCGGCCTTGTGCGTCGAAAGACTGCTCGCGCTGGGCAGGCGTTACACGACGACGTCCCTCATATCCGTCTACAACACGGGCGCCTTCTGGGGCCGCTTCGGCTTTTTGCCTGAGCCGGTTGACACGGCGCTGAGGGAGAAGCTGCTAGAGTATGGCGACGCTTCCACTTACCTTTTACGCCGAAACACGCGAGCAGACACAGCAGAGGACCAGCCAGGAGGGGCGGTGACCGCAAGGGAAAACAATTGATAAATCTGTCCAAGATATCGTGCGATCGAAAGGGGAAATATCGGTGATATGCGACATGGCTCAGTCAATGTTCCACATTGGACACCGAGGATAATGTGTGTGGCGCCGGGCGACTGCTGAAGCCAATCCTGTCATGTAACCCCATAGATACCTCCGACGCTAGCTTGTTCTGCATCTTCAACGGCTGACTTTGCTGCTTCGAGGAGCGGGCCGCCCGGAAGGAGGCGCAGAATCACCTACGTCTTGTTCCTTCAGGATTTCTAGTAGTCACAGAAACACCTCTCCACCGTCGGCTGCTGCCATGTGGTGTGAATATTAATACTGCCTTGGGCCCAGGATGGCTGTCGTGTCACGTCCGCTGCCACCACGCCTTTTTCTCTAGACTGGGTTTCCATTTGCCAGTCTTCTCCAGCGCCGCCAACATGCATATCCAGTCGTTTCTGGCCGCGGCATCGTCCGCGTTGATGGTTGCGCTCCAATGCGCCCCCGTATTGGCTGGCGGCAGCTTCAAGCTGGCCCCTGCCCGCGGCGCGCCGCTGACCATCGAGTACACGACGGACCAGCCCAACGACAAGAATTGGATCGGGCTCTGGCGTGCCGGCGACGGCCCTGTGGACCAGAAGAAACCTACCCCAGGCTCGCTCGTCTGGAAGTACACCCCTGGCCGCTCTGGCAAGATCAACCTGCCCACACCTGGCATCCCCGCAGGCAAGCACTGGCTATTCTTCCTCGTTAACGATGGCTACGAGTGGGTGTCGGGGCCTATTGACTACTCCAAGCCTGGGGGAATGCGCCTGATCGAGGACGGCGCCGACCCTGTCACGATCGAGTTCTCCACCATGTTGCACCAGCAAACCAACTGGCTCGGCCTATACCGTGCCTCGGGCGGTGGTCCCGTCAACGAGGAGAAGGATCAGGGCTCGCTTACATGGGCTTATACAAATGGCGCCGTTTCAACTGCCAATGGTGTCACGACAGGCAGGCTTCGACTCGCCACGCGCGACCTCGACCCTGGAGCCTACAAGGTCTTCTACCTCGCCGTTGACGGGTACAGGTGGATGACAGATCCCATCGACGTGTCAGTTGACGGTCGTGTGCAAAGCGTGTCAGGCGAGCCATTGACTTTCCGGTACACGACGAACAAGCCCAACAGCAAGAACTGGATCGGACTTTACAAACCAGGCGATGGCCCGTCCGGTGGGAGCAGGAACGGAAATAAGGAGTCGGTCAAATGGGAATACGTCACTGGGAGCTCAGGCACAGTTACGCTCTCGACTGATGACGTCCCCTCTGGCAACTACCAAGTCTACTTCTGCGCAAACGACGGCTACAAATGGCTCGGCGAGTACATCGAGATCAGCTACACGGCCCCCAACACTCCTCTTCGGTTTTATGCGGGCTCGATGACGACACACAACGCCCGCATCGGCAGCAGGTTCAGCTACACCGCCCGCGGGCTGCTTGAGGGAGGCACCAGCGGCGTCACCTTCTCCCGTGCCGACGGTGGATCTGGCTCGAGCTGGCTCAGCGTCAGCGCTGACGGCGTCGTCAGCGGCACGCCGCCGGCGGGTAGCCCGAGCACATGGGTCCAAATGCGCGCCACCAAAGAGTCGTCAAGCGCGACCATCAGGCTGGTGGTGCCGGTGCGACCGTCGGGGTCGGCCCTTGTCGGCAACCTGCGCGTCATGACGCTCAACATGTGGCACGGAGGCACCAGGATCAAGAACCACCTGGCCAAGGAGGTGAGCTTCATCGCCTCGTCTAACGTCGACATCATCGGGTTCCAAGAGGTCAACAACGGCGGCACCAACCACGCGAAGCGGATAGCCGACGCCCTGGGCTGGCACTCGCGGACGGATCACGGCAAGGTCGCCATCATCAGCCGGTACCGCATCGCCGAGAACTACGACAGCTCGACTTCGACGGCGACTGGCGTGCGCGTCCAGTTTGACGACGGCGCCGTCAACGTTTGGGTGGCGCACCTCGGATACAACCCGTACGGGCCCTACGACTTTTGCTTCGACAAGATGTCGGTGGATCGGGTGCTGCAACGCGAGGCACAGAGCGGACGCACTGGCGAGATCACCGATGCCCTGAACTCAATGAAGGGACTGGGCCACATCGCCGACGCCGACAACGTTCCCGTCCTCCTAATGGGCGACTTCAACGCGCCGTCGCACCTCGACTGGACCGACGCGCTCAAGTCCAAGAACTGCGGCTACTCCGACGTGCCCTGGCCGTCGTCGGTGCGGCCAACCGAGGCCGGGTTGATCGACTCGTTCCGCATCGCCAACCCAGATCCGGTGGCGGTTCAGGGCATCACCTGGTCGCCGGTAAACCCAAAGAACGACAACGGCAAGGCGGAGCCGCAGGACCGTATCGACTTTATCTATCATAAGGGCAGGAAGCTGCGCGTTTCGTCGTCGCGGACCGTTTTGGTCGGGCAGCCGAAGCCTGTGTCGGATCCAAGCTATGTAAACAATGAGTGGACGTCGGACCACGCCGCGGTTATTACCGAGTACGAACTGAGGGCCTAAGGTGGTGTGGGAGCAGAGATGATAAAGTGGCAAAAGGGTGAGGTAGTCGTGATTCTTCGATGTTAATAATAATTATGCTTGGCTTTCGGGTATGGTCATGGACCAGTGTCTTCTTCGGCCCCCACGTAATCCAGAGCCCCCCCTGTGACCTGCCAGGCACCGTAAGCCTTCGCCATACCACAGCGACCATGTATTTCTGCCCCTCCCCCGCAATTTGCAATGTTTGGCAGCAAAACGCGACCTTATACTGCCCATCACTACTCGACCTGCCAGCCCGCGGCATCCCTACCATCCATCCAACTAGCATCTTGCCAGCAATCGACTCACCATGGCGCAAATGCCGCGGTGGGACAACCTTCTCGGCAGCTCCGCCGTCGACGACATGATGACGGAGCTTAGCATAGCCAAGGTCGGCGAACCAGTTGGCGAGCCGGGTTCGCAAGGGGAGGGAGTTCCCAATCTACAGAAAGCCCTCCTCCAGACACGCGACGACAGTCAACGGCGCGAGGGTCCATATCGGCCGCTGCTCGAGCCCCAGGAGATCAGAGTGCTCGAGCTCAAGCCAGGCTCCGGCGAGGATGAGGTCCGCTGCTCGCTGCACCATTGCAGTCTCGACGTGCCCATCAGGACCAGGACCGGTGGGCGCTGGGAAACAGACCCGGAGGTGCTCAGGCGGCAGCGGATGGTTATTCGCGGCGAGTGGGAGGGACCCACGGATTTCATGCCCAGTCACTTCCTCACGCAGGAGCCCCGCCACGCGCTTTTGCTGCCGGACAGGCTCGAGCCTGTGGCATACACGGCCCTCAGCTACACCTGGGGCCCCAACGTGTTTGACGCCCTGGTGGAGCTGGATGGCTACAAGAGGCCGGTCACCGCGGCTCTCGAGCGAGCGCTCAGGCGCTTCCGCCGGCCGGACGCCAGCTTGGTGATGTGGATCGACCAGCTGTGCATCAACCAGGCAGACGAGGGTGAGAAGGAGAAGCAGATCCCGCTAATGGGGCGCGTGTACGCCCAGTCGTCCAACACGCTGGTCTGGCTTGGTGACGCTGCCCCCGGGTCTGCCAAGGCGATCGCGCTGCTCGAGCAGATTGCCAGGGAGATGCACATGGACATGAAGCCCCTTGAGCTCCCAGCCGACCTTGCCCGCCGCTACCTTCCCGGGCCCGAAGACGAGGCGTGGAAAGCAGTTCGAGATTTCTTCCTGCGGCCTTGGTTCACGAGGGTGTGGATCAACCAGGAGGTCTGGATGCCCGAAATCATCTTGGCCATGTGCGGTAATGAGGCGATCAACTGGGAAATGCTGCTCACGGCATATAATAATCTTCGAATCTCAGGCCTTTCAACATGGATGTTCGAAACGCTACCACCACCAGAAGATGTGGCGGATCGCGGAATCGACGTCATCGCTCGGGCTGGTCGGCTCTGGGATATATCCCCACAGAGCAAGAGCTACGTTAGGCAGACGGAATTGATAGACAAGATCCGTGACCGCCGATGCTACGACCCCCGCGACAAGGTGTACGGGCTAATGGGGATGCTGAAGACTCCAAAGTGGAAGAAGGTTAGCTACTCGCAAGATTATCCCACATCCATGCTGTACCGAGACGTGGCGGCGTACGGGTTGGAAAACATACCGCACAACCTGGATCACATCCTGGCGAGCGTCGATCACGAATACACACAAACGACGGCGGGACTCCCGTCGTGGGTTCCCGACTGGGACCAGGCGCGCCAAACATGGCCCCTTTGCGATAACTTTTCGGGTGTGTACGGCTCAGGGAATAAGCAGCGCTTCCCGCTCCCGCATGACGAACTCGAGACAAAGACGAGGATAAAAGGTCACGAGCACGAAGCAAAGATAATGATTGAAGGCGTCGAGTTGCATAGCCGGGCGGTGTTTGCCGACAGGGTCGTCCAAACCTCGGGGCGGTTAACGGAGCCGGACATCAGTCTTGTCAGCCCACAGACGACAAACAAGGACTTCCTTGTGGCCTGCGCCGACTTGGCGGCAGTAGCAGCTCCTCGCTCGCCGTACATGGGCAGTTCAGGAGCCCCATCCGCGAGCGGGGTGCCGCAAGAAGGCAAGAAGGCATTCGAGGCCTTTTGGCGAACTCTTGTCGCCGACAAGGACGACACCAACATGCAGCGCGCCCCAGAGCTGTACGGCGAGGTCGTCAGCTTCCTCCTGGACCAGTCCACAGGACGCAGCCCTTCTTTCCCCGGGCAGACCTACTCCCCACGGCAGCGCAGACCCAAGGGCAAGGGAGGGTTGGACCTCGACATGCTGTCGGGGAAAAGGACGATGGGAATGGCGTTCCGCAGCCTGCGTGACGCGGCCCAGCGAGCGGCCAAGAATCGCCGCTTCGTCGTGACGGAAAAGAGCATGTTTGGGCTGGTGCCGCACTGGGCGCGCGAGGGGGACGACATCGCCATCATCCAGGGTTGCAATATCCCGTTTGTGCTCCGCAGGGCTGATAGAGCTGGCGGGCGCGGCTACCATGTCATTGGGGAATGCTACGTGCATGGCATCATGAGCGGGGAGGTGTTTGCGTCTGGGGATAAAAAGTCGGCTGATATTGTGCTGGTGTAGGTAGGGGTGGCTTGCCAGTCCCCACCTCGGCACTCGGGGAACTTCCAGGTGCGCGGGGGCGGGGTATCAGGTTGTGTCTTGGGTGGCTGACAGTGCCAGGCAAGGCGGCACAACACCATCGCCAGCGACATCGACCGCACCACCAAGCATCATGGCTGGCCCAGGCGACAGAGATGGCGACTACCGCCGCTTCCTGCCCGACCTCAGCATCCCGCGCTTCACGACTATGCAGAAGCAGGATGCGCACGAGTACGCCAAGGCCTTCAAGGAGAGTGGAAACCCGCCGTGGCTGCATGCGCTGTACCTGCATTGGCGTGACCTGTTCCAGGAACCGTTCAGGGGCGTGACGTCGGATGGTATGCAATCCAAGGCGATGGTGCGGTAGCTGCGTGCGCCTGCCCTCCAATTACACACTGACACCAGCCAGGAAACGTTCGCCACGACCTGTTCAAGTTGCAGGACGAGGGCGTGCCCATCAACTCCATCGTGGACGCCGCCGCCTCGCTCGTCGGCAAGCTAACCCCCCAGCAAAAGTCGGTCCTCAGCCATCACATCGACTCGCCCGAGTGGCGCTCGTGGTCCAACCCCGAGTTCCTGCTGAGCGACAAGGGCCTCCGGCTCGACGAGCTGACGCCCGACGTGCGCGACGCCGTCATGCTGGTCCTCGGGCGCACGCTGTCGCCCGAGGGCTACCAGAAGGCCCTCGGGGCCATGCGCATCAACGGCTTCCTGGGCGAGCTGGTCGGGGCGCCGCGCATCTGCAACGAGTTCTCGTACAACTTTGTGCTGTTTGGCGAGCCGTCAACCACCGCGCCCTGGGGCTTCTCCTTTTACGGCCACCACCTGTGCTTGAATGTGCTGCTGCACAAGACCCAGATTGTCATTTCGCCGTGGTTCACGGGCGCCGAGCCGAACCTTATCGACGACGGGCCGTACAAAGGCACGCGCATCCTGCATACCGAGGAGGCGCTCGGCCTCTGGCTAATGCAGTCCCTGTCGCCGGACCAGCAGGCCAAGGCGCAGGTTTACAAGTTGCTCAAGGACCCAGCCATGCCCAAGGGGAGGTGGAACCACGACGACCAGCGGCACCTGTGCGGAGCGTACCGCGACAATCGCGTGGTGCCGTACGAGGGCGTCGTCGTGGCCGACATGGACCCCGCCCAGCAGGAGCTCGTGGTGGCGATTGCTGAGCAGTACTTGCTGTACCTCCCGGATACAGCTCACCGGCTACGTCTCGAGCAGGTTAGGGAATGGTTCCATGAGACATACTTTTGCTGGATTGGCGGCTTCACGGACAAGGATCCCTTCTACTACCGGATCCAAAGCCCCGTCATCATCGTCGAGTTTGACCACCACTCGGGAGTCTTTTTGAACAATGCCGAACCGGCCAAGTTCCACATCCACACCTTGCTCCGGACGCCCAACGGAGGCGACTACGGGATGGCGCTGAGGCCGCTGTTTGAGGGGAAGGAACAAAAGTTTTTGTGGGAAGGATGAGGTTACCCATGTGTTTGCGTAGCTGTGCGATTCCATATTTTATTCTACTCATATATCTAGAAGCCGAGGAGCATGCCGCACCCCGCCTTAGCAGCTCAAATCAAAAATGGGAGTCGAGCTGTCGATGGGAGTGATGCCAAAGGAAATGTCGACCTGCGCCGTGTTGGCGTCCTTGAGCGTGTACCACCAGACGTTGCGGTTGTTGAACAGCGTGCAGCCGACCTGGCTCCAGTACGTCCTCGCATTCTCGGGCGACGGCACGGCCGCGCGCTGCGTCGGGCCACGGTGCGGCCACCCCGTCTCAGTGACCCAGACGGGCTTGCCGTTGGCGATGCGCTCGGTCTCGCGCACGGCGGACCAAAAGTTGTCCTCGGCCTGCTCGATGGCGTTGGGCCGCGCGTTCTCCCAGTAGGGGAACGAGTTGTGGCCCAGCCAGTTGACCGACGCGGCCACGCCCGCGTTCTCGGGCAGCACCCACGCCGTCCACGTGTCGACGTGGCCCAGCGGCTTGCCCTCGAGCGCCGTGCCGCGGAACCAGTCGCGCGCCCAGCCCAGGTAGCCCTCGATCTCGGCGCCCGTCGCGCCCTGGCCCGCGTCGTTGGCGACGCCCTGCGGGCTGCTGCGGTAGAGGTCCTCGGAGCCGACGCTGATGCCGACGATGCGCGACGTCAGGGCGTCGCCGTGTGTCCGCACCGCGCTCAGCAGCGAGTTGAGCTCGTTCTCGAACACGGCGCGGCCCGCGCTCGCCCAGAAGCCGACGAGGATGGACGTGTCGGTGTCGATGGCGGCCTGGTAGGCCGAGATGGGGTCGGCCGCGGTGCCGCACTGGATCGAGGTGTAGAGGCGGGCCGAGGTGAAGCTTGGGGCGCCGGCGAGCGACTTGGCCTCGTTGAAGAAGCGCACAAAGTCGGCGTAACCCCGGCACGAGCCGTCGTTGTTGGTGGCGCCGTAGTTGAAGCCTTGGACCTGCTGGCCGGCGGCGCGGGCGGCGAGGCCGGCGAGACCGGCGATGGCGAGATGGTGTAACTGCATTGTGATGGTTGGACTTGGTGTTTGTCTTTGCGTCTTTGAGGACCTTTAGCCCACGCCGGGAGCAAGGCACGGCAGCGGCGTCATGATATATATCCGGAGGCCAAGATCCAATAAAGACGCAAAAACAAACATTTTCGAACATTGGTCAAAGCTAATCGAAATGGGGTAAAGTGCCAGCCTGGAATGCGAAAACCTGCCACGTCCTGCCACGGCAGGCACCTTGGACCGTTGTCTTCGCCATCCAGTGTAGATGACGTCGTGCGACAGCAACAGCAGCTCGTATTCTTGAACACCAGTGTTATGACGAACCCGATTCGATCGGGCTAGACTGCCAGCGTTGCCGGATCGGGCCATGATGGGCGCTGATGGGTAGTGGCGGTCAGCACACATGGAGGGGAGTTAGTCAGAATCCAGATTGACTGGAGTCTGGTAGAGAAGAGCTAACTTGAGTTCGCTACAGTAACAGTGTATCGTACAAACACGGAGCGGAGCGCCAGGGAAATTTTCTCCTCCAGCATCGTCGTCGGACTTTGTCTGCTCGACAAAGTTACCCCTTTGGCACAGCCCTACTCCTGCGCAATCCCCTCCAGTATTTTAGCCAGCTCGTCTACATGGCTAACAAACGGCGCGTGGCCAGTGTCCATCCGCACCTCCTTCATTCCAGGAGTGCCCGCCACGAACCTCTCCGCGATGGCCGGCTGCATGGCGTTGTCCTTCTCTCCGACAATGTAGGTTAGCGACGCCTTGAGGTCCGCCGGCACAACCTCTGTCTTCTCTAGCGCCGCGCCCAGCGACATGGATTCCAGCAACCCCATGCACCATTCCGTGTCCTCGGGCGTGCACGTGTTAAAGAACAGGAACTGCGAGGCTTGCTTTTCCATGTCGGTGGGTGACTTGGGCACGGGGATGTTGTCGGTGGGCTACGTCGCCGCCATCGTTAGCTCCCGCTCGTGCCTGCCACCTGGACCGCTCGCTTTCCAACTCACCTTGCCGTCAATCACAAGCGGTTTGAACATTTCAGGTATGCCGCTGCCGGACCCAAACACCACGTCCATCGGGTATTTGCCCCTCTCCCAGCCGGCGAACGCCTCCAGGTAAACCACTGCCTTGACGCCGCCCTCGAGGCCTTGCGCCTCCCTTTCTGTCTTGGTGTATCCGAGCGCAGTTGGTGTAATGATTATCCCGCCGTACGAGTGCCCCATTAGCACAATGTCCTTGCCCGCTTCTAGTGCTGGCGCCATGGCCGCCCGCACAGCAGCTACCTCGGTGGCCATGGTCGCGCCGATCACGCCTTCGCCCACGCTCGGCATTCGGGGAATAGCGACGTCGTAGCCGGCGCCTTCGAGGGCATTGCGCAGCCGATCGAAGGTTGGTGGCGGAAAGGTGAGGCCATGGACGATGACGAAAGCGGGTTTCATGTTTGCGTGCTGTAGAGCAGGGAAGGAGCGAGATGGACGTGAGTGGAAATTCGAAAACCAGACCAGAACGCGCACTCCTCCCTGCCCTTAAATACACGCTGTCGCATCCTGTGTCACCATTACCAGGCCTTGGGGCTGTATTCGGGCAGGCCCGGACCGGCGCTCCCCATCATGCCCCGAAGGACCCGAGCGAGCATAAGACGGCGTAATCCAGTCCCTGATTAAAAATCAAGAACCAATCTTGCCGTGCTCCTTCCCTATTTCGCTACATTACTAATGCCGAGCCGACACGGCAATGTCACGGTGGGGATAGGCGGTTCGCGGGCTGGCGTGCGTCGCTGGTGCTGCTGATGCCGCTGCTAGCGAAGCATGGCAAAGTTTGGCCCCGTTCCGCCGGTGCACGGTGATAATCCTATATCCTTTATGTTCAATCCCCAAAACGTTAGTCTAGGCACTCTATCAGTCATGCAAGTTCAAGGGGCTCCTAGCGCGATGGTGCTCCGCTAGTTTAGTATAACCGCAGAACCAGCCGTTCGAGCAACGGGTAGCTCAATACGAAGTCCGACCATACTTTGGGTTTTGTAACTGCGAACACAAGCTTTGGGTCGTCAAGCTCGGGAGGCGGGAGTGGTTGAAAGTGACGCAAAGGGACGCGGCTCGGCACGCGAAGTGGTGCAGGTTGGGGATGGCTGTGTAAAAACTGTGGAGCTGCTCGATGCCGCGATAACCTAACATGCAGAGGAAAGAAGAAAGCAGTGGTTGCGGCTACGAGAGCGGGCATGGCGGCGAAAAAAAAGAAGAAGAAAAGCCTTCCAAGCTCGGCGCGGGATCTTTGTCGGCTGTAATTCCGGTGCGCTTATTAGCGAGCGCGTTGGGCTTGGAATTCATATCGCAACATAGCTGCTGAATCCTTGAAACCTAGCAGCTGGGCAAACGAGCGATGCTGGGCAGCCGTGTAAGGATAGGATCTTGACAGAGGGCAGAGGCACCGTTGCTCCTTCATGTAATTGGCATGCCTTCGTGGAAACATAAAGTTACCCCTCCCCGGGCGCGAGTTCGCTGGCGCACATGTGTGTTTTTGATTGGGCAAACCGACCACATTGGACTGGAAATCCCCTTTGCAGGCGCAGCGCCATGAGTCGCCCAGACGGCAGGTAGCGGGTGTGGCTTCGCCGTCGACTTGTCTACCTCGAGCCGTGACTTGGCCAATGGCAAACCAAGACTCCAAGCCGGCAAGCCCGCGGCTTGGCGCGCTCTCGGCTGTCCGAATTGCCGTTAGCTCCTTGACAGCTTGGGTTCCTTGTTTGAACATCGGTCCCCGCATCCACAGCGCAGCTCCTGCCGCCCAATAGCCCCAAGTCGCGAGGGCGCCCACGCGTCTTCTTCTGACCACATACAGTCCCTCATATGTGCCACTTTGCGGGGAACGGGAGCTCCAACTGTCAGGCGGGAGCCGTGGAGATGTCGTATCAGCTTCCCGGTAAGCCGGTAGCGCCTCCAGCACGCATATGCTTGTTGCCTCAATCCTTGGATGGAGGGGACCATGCAGCAGGCGATTGACGTTTATGCTACCCTTCCAACCCGCACACACCGGCTGCTGCCGAGCTTGCCACCTCTCCATGCTACAAAGTGCGCGCAAAATCGACCGCGCCAGCCTCGAGCCTCCTCGGCGACGAGTGCACCGAAAAGGATCCGACAGGGGCGCGTCGCTCGCGTGGGCAACGGCGCTGGTCACAGGACGAAGATAGCTCGCCGCCCCAACGGCGAAGCTCAAGAAAAATTGGCCGTGCCACGCCCAAAATCCCTGCCGTTGCTTGGCGTCCAGCTCACAGGACCAACCAGTTTAAACCTCGCAAGCAGCCGAAAATCCCGACCAGTTGGCGATTACAGCCGGGGGTGGGGAAGGAGTGCCATGCATACCTACCGACACGCAGAGCCGACAGGTGTACGACACGAAAAGATCTTGGCAGCTGGAACATCTCCCCGGCTTCCATCAAGTCGCGACGTTAAGCTATCCAGCGAACCAATAAGTGGTAAGCAAACGTGCCATATTCCAACGTTTATTGGGCGGCCCGAAGGATTGCAGAAAACCATGCAGATCAGATTCCGTCGCGACAACCCGAGATTCCTCGAGATGGAAAAGCAGGGCCTCCAGGCACACACACCTGCCATGACACCACCACCCAGGGGCTTTCCTCCACTTAGCAGGGATCTCCTCCACAGCAGGCTGGTTACCCCACGGGCACCCCAACTCTCATTTACCCGCCCGCCAGTCAGCTTCCTTGCCGGAGCGGGGATCGACGCTGGACTCGGCCATTCTCAGGAATAGCCGGGCAGTTTTCCCGGCGTTGCAACCAGAACACACACAGCGCCGAGCAACTGGCGCCGTCTAACTGCATCCAGCAACACATAGTGGATGTGATCCTGGCTCTGCCGTTCTTCCATCGGGCTCGTGGGCAGCCAAGCAAGCAGCTTAGTTAGTGAGCACGGGACGCCAAATCAGGACAGTCTCCATCTCGGACTCCAACATCTCCACGTCTGGAAGAATGCGGGGTGGTACTGGCGGATCCATGCATGCCCGGTGTGGAGAAGCGAGCCCTCCTCCGCTCTTTGTCGGCGCGGTGAGGGTTTCCTGCCATTTTAGGGGTGCTGTATTTTTTCCTTGGGCTTGGATTTTTGTCCTCGGGCAGCCAAGGCATCCCTGTCTACACTTTGTGTCTTTATTTATTACTCGAGTGCCCGCCCTTCTGGCTGCCCGTCCCTCCTTGCCCCCAGCAACCCGCACCAGCTTCGCTCCCAATACGAGGGACGTAGTCGCCAGTCGCCCACACGAAACCTCCCCCATCAGTCAGGCACACCCGCCAGGGCAAGCCCACCATGGCGCCCGCGACCGGCATCTCGGACCCCATCCTGACACGGATGGTGGCCGAAGACAAAGTGCCCTGGTACAAGAAGCCGCACCTCCGCGTCATGTACTTTTACTTGTTTCTCTGTTGCATGGGCGTCGAGATGACGTCGGGCTTCGACTCACAGCTCATCAACACGCTGCAGTTCACCCCGGCCTTCTTAAAGTGTAAGTGCCAAGTTGTGGGATATCCCCCGCCCGCCCGCCCGCCCGCTGTTGACGGCGATACTGACTGTGCTGCTTCTTTGCTTTTGCTAGACTTCGGGGATGGCTACGTCAGCCCCACCACGAACAAGCTCGACATTGAGCCCGGCCTTCTCGGTATTGTCAATGCCTCTTACCAACTTGGCTCCATCGTGGGCGTGCCCATCGCCCCTTGGTTCGCCCAGCGCTACGGTCGGCGCGTTTCAATCTTTACCGGATCAGTTATCATGGTTGTCGGCTCCCTTATCCAGGGCTTCGCCCAGCATGTCGGCATGTACATCGTTGCGCGCTTGCTCCTGGGTATCGGCATCGTTTTCGCCATCATTTCGGGCGCATCCATGATCGGCGAGCTCGCCTACCCCAAGGAGAGGCCTGTTCTGACATCGCTGTTCAACGCCTCCTACTTCATTGGAGCCATCATCGCCTCCGCCATCGCCATCGAGACGGTGAACATCCAGTCGGACTGGGCTTGGCGCGTGCCCTCGCTCCTTCAGATTTGCCCTTCCATCTTGCAGATTGCCACAGTGTTTTTCCTGCCCGAGAGCCCCCGTTGGCTGATCAGCCGTGATCGCGAAGACGAGGCTTTTGCCATCTTAACCAAGTTCCACGCCGAGGGCGACGCCAGCTCGCTCATCGTCAACGCTGAGATGGCACAGATCAAGTCGACGATTGCACTGGAGCTCGAGAGCTCCAAGCAGTCCTGGTTCGAAATTCTCAAAGCCCCGGGAATGCGTCGCCGAGCCCTCATTTCGGCCTTCCTTGGCCTGTTCACCCAAATGTCGGGCAACACTTTGCTATCCTACTACTCGAACCTGCTCTTTGAGCTGATGAACTTCACCACCACGTACGCCAAAACTCGCATTAACCTTGCCGACAAGTGCTGGAACTTGATAAACGCCACCGTTTTCGCCATCATCATTGTCCGCTTCCCTCGACGCAGGATGTTCATGACCTCAGCTGCCTGTATGCTGTGCGTGTTTATCGCCATCACCATTTGTTTCGAGCGCCTCAAGGCAGCCAAGGACGCCGGCGAGACCAACTGGTCTGCCTCGTACGCAGCCTTGTTCTTCTTTTTCGCTTACGGCCCGGCCTACAACATCGGAAACAACGCCCTCACTTACACCTACCTCGTCGAGCTGTGGCCTTACACCCACCGTTCGCGTGGTATCGGTGTGCAGCAAATCTTTGGCAAGGCTGGTGGTTTCTTTTCCACTTTCGTGAACCCTTTGGCCATCAACGGCATTGGCTGGAAGTTCTTCGCCATTTACTGCGGTTGGATTTTCTTCGAGTTTACCTTCATTTACTTTATGTACCCGGAAACCCATGGTCGCACTTTGGAGGAGCTGACGTTTTGTAAGTTCCCCCGCCACTTGCTGCAGCACACTCGCGACTGTCCCCTACTAACGCAGCGTTTCCCTTGCAGTGTTCGAGCCCAAAGAGCTTGCCGACAAATCCGTAGCTGCTGTCGAAAAGCAGGTTCATTCCGGCGATGCCGTAATGCGAGAGGAAGGCGGGGATAAGAAGGTTTAAAAGCAACTGGAAGCGGGTTACCTTGCATGTAGTTGTTTTGTAAACCAAGAATGAAAGCTATATTTATGCAATACAAGTAGTTGCCATGCATTGTATTACAAAGAAGTTATTACAAAAGATAAGTTTCCGGGGCTATGTTAATGCAAGCTGCAAAACGGAAGCGGACTTATTCCAAAAGCGCTTTAGCGCTTGGGATGCCGGATTCGTAGTGCAAAGCTTTTGTTAGTACGGTATACCCGAAGGGCTGTAATTAAGGCTTTAATAACCCGTTTAATTAAGTGGCTTTGGCGGATATATTGTTGTTGTGCAGTCTTATATGTGTGTGGCTTGGTTTTAAGTCAATGCACCCCCTGTCCGGACGCCCCCCCCTTTCCGGGCACTTTTCCCATGCAAACTCACTGTTTTTACATAAAGGGGGGGTGTCCGGACAGGGGGCGCACTGACTTACAGAGTGCGCCGACAGGGGGGTGCACTGACTCAACCCGCGCCAGTCCTGGGCTGGCTCGCCGCCGGTCCTGACGTAACGGCACGCCTGCCATGGACCCCCCACCGCTTTCGCAACCGCCGCGGCCTCCGTAGTGGCCCCGCCGTGGACGATGCCGACGTAAGCCCTTACGTCGATTAAATAAGGGGCAAGCTCAATACGCTGACGTCCGAGGCCGGCCCATCGGATGCTCCTTGTGTCCTTGGCTCCCGCGGCTAACCTTTTTTGGACGGCAGCTACACGAACGCGGGGAGATCCTACCCGTCTCGCGCGTCGCGCGGATGCTCGAGAGGGATAACAACGTGGGCGTCCTCGACGTCACGGGCTCTTGGGTCCGTGGGATGCTGGAGGAGGTACGCGCGTCGCCCGGCCCGACCAAACCCGATCCCTCTCTGAAATTCTTCTTTTCTGCCAACATACTTTTAGGGTTAACGGCGAGCTTATCGCGCATGGGCCGCAGCTAATCGCGGGAAATAAAAACAATAAGGCAAAATAAACCTTACCATCCTACCTTGCGGGTTGGTACGCCCAAACTTCGCCGCGGAGCCGCAAAGCTAACTTTGTATTGGAATGTTTTTCTTAATCACTTTCCTAATTACAAGCAGATACTTCCTTTGTAAGTGCCCGCGCTTTGGGATGCGGCTTTCCGGAAACGGGTCGCCCCATTTGCAAATTCCGGGGACGAGCGATTCCCTTTTCTAGCCTTCATGATTGGCCGCCGCCGTGCAGAACTCGTCGCACACCCTTACCTTGACCTACCCCTTAAGAGGGCCTTGTAGGTGACCCAACGCCCGAGTCCGAGCGGCCCCCGTGCAAGGGGCAATAAAGTGACCGTTTCCCATTCAGCAGGGGATATGACTTGGTGAAAAACAGCGGCATTCGGACCCTCTGCCAAGGCGGCAGCAAACGATAAGGGTTTAAATATCGGCGATTCCGCGGACCGGGGCGAGCGGGCAACACGGCATACGTATGCCGAAATGCTTCCCAAATCGGTCGTCGAGCGCTACTCACGACTAACTCCACGACTAACTCCACACAATTTTAAATGCTTGGCAGGAGGTAAAGGGCCACTCTGGAAATATCCACGGTGGTTCTAAGGGGCTGGTGAGATTTTTTTCTATATAATCGAACGTCGTCGACGATCCTCTTCCCAGTTAATCCTTCTCGTTACCTCACCCTTTCCATTCCCTAAGAAAACCCCTCCACAGTCATTACCAAAACCCCACTACATTCGTTAGCAAAATATATACTTAGCGATCAACAACGGTCCTTAACTGCCCCCAACACCGCCCACATCTTCTTTCCCTGGCAGCCCCTTCACTGCCATCATGAAGTTCTTATCCGCCACCGCCGCCGCCGCCTTCCTGGCGTCGGCTGTCGTTGCCGTTCCAGCCGCCCGGTCGGTCCCCTCCGTCCCCGCACCCCGCTGGGACCTCGTGGCCGACAAGGAAGCGGTAACCGAGGTTATCGCCTCGATTCAGGAGAACCAAATGGCCAAGCTTAAGGCCCGGGCCGGGAGCGGCGGGTGCACCGCTGAGAACGTTAGGGTCCGGAAGGAGTAGTAAGTCAACAACAGCAACGGTTACATAAAGCCCCCAGTCGTTGGTAACCCTCCCCACACCGAGAAATCTTTCCACTTTGCTAATATATTTTGCCTTTTGTTTGGTATAGCGGCGACCTTACCAAAGAGGAGAGGTCCGATTACATTCGGGCGATCCAGTGCCTTATGGACAAGCCGGGCAAGGTCGACCGTACCTTTTCTCTAGGCACGAGGTCTCGCGTAAGTCTTTTTCCGCTCCCTCTTTTCCTTAGCACCCCCAACGAAACACAAGTGCACCCATCGCCCTTATTTTTCCAACATGATTCTAACGCCAAAGCTCTCTCTCCCTCCCGCTTTTATAGTTCGACGACTTTGCCGTCGAACACATTACAAAAACTCTCGGAATCCACTTTACAGGCAACTTTATGGCCTGGCACCGCTGGTTCCTCTACGCGTATGAAACCGCACTGCGCGACGAGTGCGGCTACAAGGGTTACCAGCCTTACTGGGACTGGGCAAAGTACGCCGAAGCGCCCCAGGACTCGCCCGTCTTCAACGGCGACGAGTGGAGTCTCGGCGGCAACGGCGCCCCCAACCCGGACCGTGTGGGCGCGATTATCGGCAAGGGCCCCGGAGGTGGTCTTGTCCACCTGGTTCGTGGCCTGGGAGGTGGGCCCGTTACGACTGGTCCTTTCGGCACCAACCGCACCATCCTGCTGGGTCCCGTGCAGCCCGACCCGCCCGCTACCGTCGGGCCCAACGGGGGTTTGGGGGTAAACCCGAGGCCGTGGGTGCGCGATGTAGGCCCTGCCGTTAACCTGCGCTACGCAAACTACACGACCCTGCTAGACCTCCTGAACCAGCCCGACATCGACAAGTACCGGTCCCTGTCCGAAGGGCCCAAGGGGTCCCTCGAAATCGGCCCCCACGCCGCGGGCCACTACGTTATCACCAGTGACCCGGCCGACGACGTCTTTACCTCGCCCACCGACCCTGCCTTTTTTGTGCACCACGCTATGGTCGACAGGATGTGGGCTTTATGGTAAGTTTCTTTTTTTCCCGTCCTTTCTGTCTCGTTTTTACGGCAAACTGTTGACATCCTTCCTCTTTCCCCCTCGCAGGCAGGAGCTGGACGAGTCGACGCGCCGCACCGACCTCGGCAAGGACGTATACGCCCACCTCACCTGGCAGAACAACCCCCCGAGCGGCCTGGCTACCCTTGACGACGTCCTAAACGTCACGTATGTCGGCCCCCAAACCACAATCCGCGAGGTCATGGACACCACCTCAAGCCCGTTCTGCTACGTTTACCAGTAGGGTGGCGGCGGGTACTCGAAAATGGAATAAGAGGGTGTCTCCGTGCTTCCTATTTTGTCCGACGGGCCCATTCAGCTTTCCTATTGCACTCCAACACCCACCCAGGCGCATCCATTTCATTAACAACCTTGTCATTATCCACTGCCAGAATAGCGTTACAAACAGCGGATCCTCGTGTTATTTGGTTTTTGTTACTTGTATGAATATCGCACGCTCCTAAACTCTTCGCAAGCTCAAGCCAGCCCTGTACATAAATTGGTTTTGGATACTTGTACAATATCAAAGTCCCATGTTGATGGCTTATGTGTGTTTTTTTCCTAACCTATACCAACGCCGCTTATATTGCCGAAACGCGCAATTCGAATCGTGAAATGGCGATTTAAACCCCTGCTCTTCATTATAATGGAGGGTGTCGGCGCGGGTTCAACACCGACCCGGCACCGGGTCGCAGGCGCAGGGTTTTCCTCCTTAGTCCTTACCCAAAGGTTTCCCCTACGCAACACCATAGCGGTAGCACTGAGGTTTCTCCAATAAACAAAACAGCGTATAAATAAATAAATAATTTACATACTAAATGGAAAGCTACCAAAGCTTTTTTTTTTATTTTAATTCTTTTAACTTGGCAGGTGCCGAAGTGGTATTATTTTACGAAATAAGGAAAAAAAAGGAAAGAGTTAGGTCCTTGCCCTTAAGGGCTTTGGGTGGTTCTTATATACATGAGTCCTAGCCCAAGGGGCACCCCTTGGGTTACGTGATCCGTCATCCTAGTCGACCAACCTTAAACTCCAACCGCTCCGGTTAAAAACGCCAACCTTGGGCTGCGAAGCGGCCCCGTTGGCCGAAAAAAAGCCGATGGTCTTGAGGTAAATGAGGCTGCGCCTAACGCGCTCGCGCAGTTCGGTTTCGGGGAAAACGGCCTCCTCGTCGCGTATGCGCCGGACGCCAACGGTGCCCCGTCTGCTCCGGAGGAAGTCGAAGACCGGGAAGATGGGGTGGGCGGGCCCGCGCGCGTTCATGTCCCGCTCGAGCGTCGCCAGCCAGTCGCGGCAGGACATGGGTTTAAGCTCGAAGCCTAACTCCGGGTCCTCGGCCAGAACCCTCCAGAGCTCCTTAACGGGGACGCCGTCGACGAAGCGGACGGCCCGTTTGGAGGCGGCCGACGGCGGGAGCATGCACGCGTCCACCGCGGCGCTTGCGATTTGGTCGCTGCCGGCGGCGAGCAGCCACGCGTCGGGGTCGTCGGCCTCGTCGGCGTTGTAGCCGCCGACGCGGACGGCTGAGCCCACGACGCGCCACAGGAAGTCGTCGAGGTTCGACACGCCCAAGTCCCCGTCTCCAATAATGAAACCCGGCTTGAGCACGACGGGCATCGGGAAGTCGGGAGATGCGGCCGCCAGGCGCTCCCCGTGGCGGCCCACGAGCACCTCCGAGATGAACTTGGTCTGCGCGTAGCCGCCCGAGTCCGACAGGAGGTCCGCAACCTGATTGTCCGTCTCGTCGGCGGTGCCGAAGTAGCCCCCGGACACATAGGCGAGGCGCGGAGGCGACGTGGCGGTCGACAGGGCGGAGAGGAGGTCAAATGTGCTGCCGACGTTGGCGGCTCGGATGTCGTGGTAGCCCAGGTGCCAGTGGACGACGGCGCCGTTGTGTATGATGGCGTCGACGTCTCCACCTGCAACGCGCGCCCAGCGGGCAGCGTCGAGCCCCAGATGCGGCCTGGCCAGGTCGCCGCTCCATGTAGTGAGGCGCTCTGCCAGATCAGGCCGCCACCACTCGCCTTTGCGGGCTGCGTCCATCATACGTTCCCAAGCCTGGTCGTCATTGTCGGCTCGGACAAGGCAGAATACTCTCTTTACCGCGGCCCGTAGCAGCAGCTGCCTGACAATTTGGCTGCCGAGGAAACCGGTCGAGCCCGTGACGAGGAAGGTCGACGGTGTTTGGAAGTGGTTACGTCTAAGGCGCTTGGGTGTCACCTTTTTGGGCACGGCCAGCAGCCGGGCAAGCCTTTGGTCGAGGCGTTGGAGCTCAGCGCGCAAATTGACGATGGCTGCTGCTGTGGCGCGCCTGGCCGTAGACGGTCCGGTCTTTTCCTCTTGGACCAAGGCAGCGAGTGTCCGTACGCTGGCCTGGGGAGAAAGAAGGGTGGCCATGGGAACGGTTGCAGTAAAAGTCTTGCGAATCCACGACGAGAGCGTGATGGCGGCGATAGAGTCCAGACCGAACTGCATCGGCACAATGTCCTTGCCGACAACGTCCTGCAGCACATTGCCGGCGCCGCCGAGGAGGTCTCCTAGGCGACGGCTGATTTGCCGGGCGACCTTCTCGCTCGGGTCCAGCTCGGCGGTCGCGTCTGCGACCGCGAGGATATTTCGATACGTATCCTCGTCGATGCCCTCGATCCAGGCCTGCACCGTAGGGAGGTGGAGCTTCCGGGATACCATCATTGGTATCTGGTGCACGGCAATCCAGGTCGTTGGGACCATATACGCCGGAAGACGCCGAGCGAGCGCGTTACGGATCCGCCCGACGCACTCGGCCGCCCGGGGGCGCATCGATGGGGCGACGAGGCGCATAGGTTCGTGGGTGGCGGCGGCGTCGGCGGCGTCGGCGGTGGAGCAAAAGTCCTTGAGTTCGAGCACGGCTACGAGGCGGCCGCGGAGAGGGCCTTCCGACGGGCTCAAAACGACCGAGTGCCGGATTTCGTGCATGGTCGCCAAGTGATGGTGGATCTCGCCTAGCTCGATGCGTTGGCCGTGGATCTTGACCTGGCCGTCCCTGCGGCCGACAAACGTGAGCGAGCCGTCGGAATTGAGGCGCACGAGGTCGCCGGTCGCGTAGAAGCGCGTCTCGGGGGTGCGGCCCACGTGCGGCGCCCAGGCCAGGCCCACGACGAAAACCTCGGCCGTCCTAGCGGGGTCGTTGACGTAGCCGCGCGAGAGCGGCGCGCCCTCGAGGAGAAGCTCGCCGACGGCCCCGATGGGAACGAGACGCTGTCTGTTGCCCAGCTCGGTCACCCAGCGTGCACAGCCCGAGGGGTGGCCGATGTTGGACGCTTCCGTCGACCTCGTCGCGCGCGGCATGGCGGACGATATAACAGCGCACTCCGCAGGGCCGTAGCCGTTGCCAAGCCGGACTTTGTCGGCCCAAGCATCAATGTCCCTCTGAGACAAGGGCTCGCCGCCGAGGAAGAGCGTCTCGAGGGGAGCAAGCCCCGCCTCCGGGCTCAAGGTCCGGGCAAAGGACGGCGTGAGGAACGCCCAGGTAACCTTCATGTTCCTGACGACACCCGGCAGGTCCGCAACCATGTCTTGTTTTTGTGGCATGCAGACACAACCGCCCACGAGCAGGGGCGTAACCATCTCCAGCATGGCGATGTCGAACGCGAAGGAGGCGAACTGCAGGCAGCGGGACTCGGGTCCAATCGACATGTTCTGCGCCTGCGCCACCGCCGCGGTGCAAAAGGCGCCGTGTTCGACGACCGCGCCCTTGGGCTGGCCGGTGGTGCCTGACGTGAAGACGACGTAGGCGGCACTAGAGCTCGGGACGTCTGGCAGCTGGCAGGCGTGGCTGGCTGGCGTTGCGATGGCATCCTTGTCGACCACCATCGAGGCCATACCCCAGCCCTCGACCGAGGCGCTACACGCGGCCGAACAGAGGACCATGGATATCTCGGTCTTTTCGAGCATATACTGGGTACGCTCCCGAGGTGCATCGGGTTCGAGGAGCAAGAAGGCCGCTCCAACCTTGTGTATGGCGAGGAACGCGACGGCGACCCAGGCCGACTTTTCAAAGCACATGGCAACAAAACTTCCTGGCTCAATGCCCCGCTCGACCAGGAGACCGGCCAGGCGCGACGAAGCATCGTCGAGCTCGGCGTATGAAAAGTGCGCATCCCAGGCGTGTATGGCGGATGCATCTGGTCGTGCGCGGCATGCGTCACCAAACAGACAATGCACGGTCCTGTCGACGAGAGGTGGTATGGCCTCGCCCCAGCGCTTGAGCTGGGAGAGGTGCTTTGGCGGAAGCAGTTCCAGCGAGTCGACGCCTGCGTCCGGGGTGGCCTCGATAGCGCTTAGGGCCTGGACCAGGCTCTGGCCGATGTTGATCGCTTGCGCTTGCGTCAAGAAGTTGTCACGGTAGTCGATGGAGAAGTTAATGGAGTCGCCGCTCAGTACGTTAAGCATAACATCGAACTGGGGTGGGGGTGGGGGCGGGTTAGTTGCTAGCTGGATAGGAGAAAGGAAGGACCAGGAGGAAAAGAGGAAGGCTTTACCTCTGTAGGATCGTCACCCCGGATAAAGCGGAAAGATAGTTCTAGGTCCTGGGGCTGCCCGGTAGGCAACTTTTGGAATGACAAGGCCGTGTTGAACAGCTGACCGCCCGGCACCTGGAGCGCGTGCAAGATGTCGGCCAGCGGCGCATGCTGGTGTGGTAGGCCGTCTACGTAAGCGGCGAAGAAGCGCCGCAGCATGGTCGCGGCCGTGCTGTGCTGGTCAAATACCAGGCGCGAGACGAGGATGTTGATAAAGGGACCCACGGCGTCCGAAATGCCGTCGAGCTCGACGTCCCTGCCCGACGCGATGTAGCCGAAGCAAACGTCCTGGGCGTTGGTGTAGGAGCGGAGGACCAAGGCCCAGGCGAGTTGGAATATATTGGCGACGGATACGCGGAGCCGCCTCGCCAGGGCATCGAGGCGGTGGCCAAAAGGCACGTCGACGTGAAGGCGGCGCATCCCCCCATGACCGGTCCGCACGATGCCGTCCGTCAGTCGGGGAAGACGGCAGACAGTGGCACCCTCGAGGCGGGCGGTCCAGAACCGGAGGGACGACTCGGGCGAGGTATTTTGGATGTGGGCAATGTAACTCGAGTAGGAAAGACCGGGGCCAGCCGGGAGGTCGTCGGCGTAGGCGCGGGCCCAGTCCCTTAAGAGGATCTGCAGCGATGTCGCGTCCACCAGGGCGTGGCTGACCTGGAGGTGCGCATAGGCTTTGCCTCCGGGGCAGGCGCATATGGCAAGGCGGTGCGCGGAAGCGTCTGGGTCGAAGTCTCCGCGGCACGAGTCCCAGAGCTTTTCCATGGCGGCAGCCTTGTCGTCGTCCCCGCATGTGAAGAAGGTGATGGAGGGGTCAAGCTCCCTAAGTACGACCTGGTCGAACGGAGAGTCGTCGCGGAGGCCGGCGTCGATGAAGACTGTTCGGAGCATGGGGTGTCGCCGGACGACGTGGCGCCAAGCGCGGCGCAGCCGCGACGTGTCGACCTTGGCGGCGCCGCGACCCTCGCAGGGGCTGATCTCCCAGACGGCGTGGACGTCGTACTGCGAGGCGTCCTTGGACCGGCTGAGGAGGATGCCGCGCTGCATGGGCGATGTGGGGTATACGTCTTGGACTGCTTCGACGCCGCCGCGCGAGACGACGGCCGCCAGTGCCTCGTTGAGGGCTCCGAGCCGCGCGTGGGGGAGGCACAACAGGGGAACGTCGCTGCTGGTCAGCCGCGGCAAGGCCTTTTGCAGGGCAGAGGTGACCTCGGTCAGCGCCTGTTCGTACAGGGAAAACCACCTGGCCAGCTTGTCCTGATGATGGATCTTTGCGTTGTAGTTCCAGGACACGGTCAGCGCGCCCCTCTCGACGACGGCGGACACATCGATCACGGAGAGGCGGGCGACAGAAAGCCCGACATCCACGGGGTGCGTGGAACCTGGTAGTAACTCGAAAAGGCCGTCCGGGCGCTCGAGCTGCTGGAAGCGACCGAGATAGTTAAACATGATTTCCATGGTTGGCTTTTGCGGCGGCCCCCGAAGCATCTTGGATGTGAAGTAAGGCACCCCCAGGCCAGGTACGGTGCGGCGGATATCCTTGGCTTGGATGACGGAGTCGACGTAGTCGCTTCCGCCGGCGGCGGTGATCACAAGGGGCACAATCGCCGTGAACCAACCGACCGTCTCGTGAACCGGGATGGCCGTACCCCCGCGAGGATGGTCCCTGCCGTGGGTCTCGGTGTGGAAAGAGGGTGCTGCACGCTCTGGGAAGATGACGGCAAAAGTGTGCGCGGCCATGGCTAGAAGGACGTCCGGGACTTCGGCCCGCAAGGTCTTTTCGGCAGCACGAAGGAGGATGTCGGTCAAGAATGGGCCAAGGGTGAACTCGCCCTGCGCCAGGTTGGTGGAGTCGTTGTTGGGCGACGATTCGTCTATGCCCCAGAACTCGATATTTGGCTCCGGCACTGCAAACGGCAGCGTCAGGGCAGCAGCTGACGCCTCTGTCTCGGCGTAGCTCTGGAGGCTGCGAACCCATCGCTGATACGACCACGACTCTTGCGTCTTGGGCAGCGATATGCCACCGATAAGCTGCTCGAGATCTCGCAACAGTACTCGCCAGGACACGAGGTCGACGACGAGGTGGTGGGCGACTAGGAAGAGTGAGGTTGATTCACCGATGTGGAGGGACCTAGCTGCCAGCATTGGCCCGCTAGTGATGTCAAGGCAACGTTCGGCCTCGAGCATGGCGCCCTGGGCCTCCTCCCAAGTCGGCACGTTGCTTCTGGCGAAGGAAAATGCCTCGTCGGCGTTTGGGCTCACCCTTTGCATCCACTGGCCTTTTGCCGGGTCCCTTTGGAAGCGGGCGCGGAGCATCGAATGATGACGCACCAGCTCCGAAAGAGCCTCGCGAACAACAGACTCTGGGGTAGGCCGCTGCAGTTTGAGGAGCATGCTTTGGTTGTAGTGATTCTCTCCGTCCGGGAATTGCGCGAAATAGAGCTTCTGAATGGGAGAAAGAGGGAAAGGGGCGAATTCGTCCTCCTCGCCAAGCGTCTCGGTGCTGCCGTCTTGGGCAGGAGCTCCGGCGAGACTCAGTCTGTTGGCCCTGGCGGCCATATCAGCGATGGTAGCGCTCTTGAGAATATCCTGGACCCCTAGGGAGACGCCTCCCTGACGGCAGAGGGCCATAACCTGCATGGCGGTGATGGAGTCGCCGCCCAAGCCGATAAAGGAGCGGTTTGCCGGGACGCGATTGGGTGGGAGGTTGACTACCTCGGCGATGACCGCATGCATGATCTTGTCGACTTCTCCTGTAGGTACAAAAACCTCATCCGTGGTGCTGTCAACACGTTTAGGTACAGTCTGAGCCATTCGAGCAAGTGTTTTCCGATCGACCTTGCCGTTGGCATTGAGTGGCATCTGGTCCAGAACCACGATCCGCTCAGGGACCATGTACGATGGAAGCAGGGCTTGCAGTCGACGACAAATCTCCTCCTCGACCTGTGCTGCGAATTGCTCTTCCCGGTTTCGGGGCTGCTTCGCAGCGCCGTCCGGCCGGGCCGCCACGAAGCCGACCATTTCCGGCACCTGGCCCTTTTGTACCCGAACGATGACCGCCGCGTCTTGAACTGCGTCGTGGCCGATAATGGCGTGTTCGACCTCGGCCAGTTCGATCCGGTGGCCTCGAATCTTGATCTGCTGGTCCATGCGGCCGAAGAACTCGATCTGGCCGTCTGCTCGGTATCGGACCCGGTCGCCAGTCCTGTATGCCCTCGTTGTCCTCCCGTTGATTGTTACACTGACGAAGCGGCCGTCGTTTAGCGCCGGGTCCGTGTAGCCGCGCGCGAGCCCATCTCCCGTCACAACGAGCTCTCCCATGACACCGATGGGAACCACTTTCTGCTGGCCGTCCATGACGAAGGTCCCAGAATTGGCGATTGCCCGGCCGATCGGGACACCGTTGACATAGTTCTCCTCGCCTACCGGCACACGGTACTTGGTGCTAATGCACGAGTTCTCCGTCGGCCCGTACGCGTTAAAGACGGCGCCTCGGACCAGGCGCGCCGCCTCGATGGCGCTTTGCGGCGGGAACCTATCGGCGCCGACCACCAGCAGATCCAACCCGGCGAGCGCGGCAGGCGCCGAGGTCATACATTGCTTGAGAAGCGCGGGCGTGAACAAGGCCCCGCGGATCCCCTTGTCCGCAAAAACGCCCCCCAGCTCAACGGGGTCCAGCACGGTTGTGTGGCCGATACAGACCAATGTGCCACCGCTTAAAATGGCCGTGTATATCTCCCAAGTGGCGGCGTCGAATGCCGTGTTCGCCATGTGGGCGATGGGCGCCCCCCGCAGGGCCACGTCTGGCTCACTTGCCAACCGCACGACGCCGCGGTGCTCCACCATGACGCCTTTTGGGCGGCCCGTTGAGCCAGACGTGAACATGACATAAGCAAGGCTTGAGGCCGAAGGCTGCTGCTGGTACGCAAGTGCCGCCTCTGCCGGGCCCGCGCTCCGGAGAGCGTCGGCGATCCTGATCAGCTCGACGCCGGCTGTTGTCGAGCAGTCCGGCGGAGGGGTGTCGCGGCCGAGAAGCACCAGTGTCTTTCCCGCCACGGTCGACAGGATCGTCGCGATTCGTGCTGCCGGTGCGTTGGTGTCGAGCGGAATGTAGGCGAGGTTCGCCTTGAGCACGCCGAGGAATGCCACGATTGCCTCGCAGGACCGTGGCGCGAGCACGCCAACAAGACTCTCTGGGCTCGTGCCCTTGCGGCGGCGGAGCCACGTCTCAAGCCGGCTAGACTTTTCGTCGAGCTCCCTGTACGTCATCCGAGCCGACGAATCGATGACTGCTGTCGCGTCTGGATGGGCGGCTGCTTGCTTGCGGAAAGCGTCAACTACAGACCCTTTCGGGTAGTCGGTCTGTCGGATATCCAGGAGGCCCATGGACCGCACCTCGCCGAGTCCATCCGTGAGCGGGAGCGTCGACAATGGGGTGCGGGGGCGGTCGAGGCCGCGGCGGAGGATCTCGAGGAAGACGGCTACGATTCCGTCGGCAGTTTTCTCCTCAAACAGGTCCTTGCTATAGAGAACCCTGCCGTCGAGTCCTTTCCGACCCTGCAAAAGGTGAAATTCGAGATCCATGCGGGTCGTCGGGTTGCCTGGGACGGCCTCGGCGGCCAAGCCCTCCAGGGGTATGCGTTCGAGATCCTGCTGCGAATGCAGTGCAAACATGAGCTGAACCAAGGGGTTTCTGGAGGTCGAGCTATCCCTGAGTCCAGGCAAAAGCTCCGACACGACGCGCTCGAAGGGGACGTCTTGGTTTGCAAACGCCGCCGTCGTTGTGGAGCGGACCTGTCTGACCAGGCCCTCGAATGTGTCATCCTTGCCAACCGCGATCTTCATGCACTGGGTATTGACGAAGAACCCGATCATGTTTTCGAGCTCGGGCCGGTTCCTGTTGGCGATTGGAGTACCAATAGTGGCAATCTCGGCTCCCGTGGTGAGGCGGTAGTGGGCTGCACGGAACGCGGCCAACAGCACGGTGAACGAGGTGGTCTGGTGATACCTGCAGAATGCCTGGAGGTCCTCGTACATGGGCCCATCGATCGCCAAGGGCACAACGCCCGCGTCTCCTGAGAGCGTGGCCGGCCGGGGCTTATCCGTTAACAGCTCGGCTGGGGAGCTGTCTGCCAGCATTTTCTTCCAGTATTGCAGCTGGCGCCCATGCTCGGCAGACTGCTGCGCTTGCCACGCGGCGAAATCGCGGTACTGGATCGGGAGCGCTGGAACGGCCGATAGGGGGTCGCGCCCCCGTACCGCCGCGGCGTAAAACTGGCCCAGTTCGCGGCGCATCACGTCGATGGACCACCCATCAGAAATGATATGATGCATGACGACGGAAAGGATGTGGTCGTTTTGGCCCAGTTTTATGAGGGCGACTCGCCAGCCCGGCTGGGCGGCCAGATCGAATGCGGTAGTTTGTTCTTTCCACAGGAGCTGGGCGTACTCTTGGTGCGTCTTGGCCGACATGTCGACCATGTTGATTTTGATGGTGCTGACAGGCCCCACGGCTTGCATGCCTACGCCGTCTGTCTCGTGGAATGTCGTGCGCAGAGTCTCGTGCCTCGTCTCGAGGGCCCGGATTGCCGCCTCCAAGGCCTCTGTATTTAGTGGTCCGCGCAGGCGCGTCGCCAAGGGGATGATGTACGCCGTCTTTCCAAGGTCGATCTGGTCCAGGAACCAAAGGCGGCCCTGAGCAAACGACAACTTGACCGGGCCGTCGTGGGTGGTCTTTGCGATGGGCTTGTGCGAAGCCGAAATACGGCGAATCGTGTCGGCCAAGTCGCTCAAAACGGGCTGGTCAAAAATATTCTTAACCGAGATGTCAGTGTTTAGTCGACGGCTCAGGCGAGCCGCGAGCTTGGTTGCCATGAGGGAGTGGCCCCCTTGGTCGAAGAAGTTGTCGTTTATTCCGACCCCCACGCCGAGGACCGAACCGAACTCCTCGCAAACAACGGCCTCGGTGTCGTCTTTCGGGCTAGCGTGTACAGAAGCCACGGCGCTGGGCTTTTGGATAGCCTGGGCCATGCGACCCAGTTCTTCGCGGTCGACCTTGCCGTTTGCTCCGACCGGGAGCTGACAGCCGAGCACGACAATCTTCTGGGGCACCATATGTGCCGGGAGCATCTTCTGTAGCCCCTCGCGGATCTGCGCCTCGACACGGCGGCGGTGCAGGCGCTCCAGCGGCTGGCTCGTGAGCGGGGCGGCCGGCGAGCCCTCCGGCTCGTCGTCAGTGGGGAACCGGTACAGAACACGCGCGCCGCCCTCGGCCGCGATCCTGTGGAACACAGCATCCAGGGCGCCGGCGCGAGACCGCTGGCGCGCCCAGCTGACCTCGGCCCGGAAGCCGGCCTCGCCGGCCAGGCGCGCCAAGTCAGCAGCAGACAGCGACTCGCGACGCTCAGCCGCAGACCGGGCGGTCGAGATCCAGGCCGCCCCGTCGACGGTGTTGTTTTGGGCGTCGCCCTCGGTGTCGAGCGACTCGACGACGAGCCTCTCAAGCATAGTTTTGCGCCAGGGTATGTTCTCAATGGCAATGGTGGCGTCGGCGGGCGCGCTCCGCAGGAGGCTAGCGAGCCCCTCCCGACTCATACCCGACGCCTCAAAGTCCACCCAGGCAGCCTGGTCGATTGTGTGCACCGGTCGCGCATTTTCCTGCGACACATGGACCACAGCCGCGTAGCGGTAAGAGCTGAGCTCGTTGCTGGCCGTCATGCGCTTGGGCAGAATCTCGACGTGGTGGACAAGATCAGGCAGCCGCTTCTTGAGGCTGGTGAAAAATGCCGGGTCGACGAGCAGCTCCTCTTCACTCTCAGTCAGCTCTGCAATGATTTGCCTGACACCGGCCTTGGTGGCCGACGCTCCAAGCGAGCGCAGCGCCCTCGATGCGAGGAATTGCTTGTTGATTGCGTAGGACCGGACGTCGCCAAAGAAGATGCGCTGGACACCAGGCGTCCGAACAAGCTGGTCGATGATTTCGGCAAGATATTCACAAGTCGGAAAGTACTGGATAACCGAGTTGATGACCACGAGCTCAGGGCGCAGCTCTAGGTGGCCAACGTCTGCCGCCGTGCCCACGTGCATGTGGACGCGGCCAGCCAACATGGCGTCGGCCTTGACCCGATCGTTGACGAACCTAGTGGCCGCGGGGGAAGGCTCGAGACCCCAATACCTCTCGAGGCCGCCCGCCGCCGCCCTGGCAAGGTTGAACAGGATCATGCCGCTTCCAGTGCCGATTTCGAGCACACGCCCGGGCGCCGCTCCCTCCAGCATGGCCTGCATCGTCTCGTCGAGCCACTCCTGCATCTCGGCGCGGTCGATCAGGCTGCCGTCGTACATGGAAGTCCAGCCCATAAAGTCGTTGCCGAGGGTCGTGTCCTCGATCTTGTCGATGTCGGTGTACGTGGCCTTGTCGAAGTGTGTCACCCACCCATCGACCTGCCCGCTGGCGTCATCATCGTGGTCGGGAGGCGTGTTCTTGGTGGCCTTGGTCGTCATGAACGCGATAATCTTGCCGGCCTGTACCACGACGGCGGCATCTGCCACGGCGTCCTGCTTGAGGATTGCGGCTTCCACTTCGGCCACCTCGATGTGGTGGCCGCCCACCTTGATCTGCTGGTCCATGCGGCCGAAAAATTCCAGCTGGCCATCGGTCGGGCGGTACCGGGCGCGGTCTCCTGTTCTATACGCCTTGATGGGAGTGTTGCCGACCACCATCTCAATCTCCACAACCCGGTTTCGGTCCGAATCAGAGCCCGCGTATCTTCGTGCCAGACCGTATCCGGTCACGACCAATTCGCCCATAACTCCTGGAGGGACGAGCTGCTGCCTGCGGTCCATGACGAACGTGCCCGAGTTGCCACAGATCTCGTCAAGGCCGTCCTTTATGAGAGGGAGCGTGGATATGGGTTCCTGCGGCTGTTCGAGTCCCTGGCGGAGGACGGTAAGGAAAACAAACACGAGGCAGCGTATCGTCTTGGGCTCGAACAGATCCGTGGAATACAGGGCCCGCCCGCTCAGACTGCCTGCCCTCTGGAGCATGTGGAACTCGACATCTAGCCTGGTCGTGGCCGTGCCGGGGACGGGGTCTGCAATCAGGCCTTCTAGCTGGATCCTATCGAGGTCTTCTTGCGAGTGCAGCACCAGCATAGTTTGGACGAGCGGATTGCGGGACATATCGTTGGTGCCGAGACGCAACGACGACACAATGCGCTCGAAAGGTACGTCCTGGTTAGCGAAGGCTGCGGCGGCGGTTGTCCTGGTTTGCTCCACCAAGCCCTGGAAGGAGTCGCCGTCACCGACGGCCATGCGCATGCACTGGGTGTTGACGAAAAAGCCAATCAGGTTCTCGATTTCTGGATGGTTGCGGTTGGCAATAAGACTCCCGATAGTGGCGTCTTCCACGCCGGTCAGCCGGTAGTGCGCAGCGCGGAAAGCTGCCAACAGCGCGATAAAGGAGGTTGTCCGTCCCGCCCGGCAGAACGCTTGCAATCGTTCGTATAGGGCCCCGTCAATCGCGAAATCGACCACACCTGCACCCCCCGACAGGACGCTGGGCCGCGGGCGGTCGGGAAGAAACTCGGCCGGAGTGCTATCGGCGAGCTGCGTCTTCCAGTACTCGAGTTGGCGCCCGTGGTCCTCTGCCTGTGCCGGCTCTCTCTGCCAGACGGAGAAGTCGCGGTATTGGATTGGGAGCGGCGCTATCTGCTCTAGGAGAGGCACGTGGCCGCCGCGCAGGGCTGCTGCGTAATACGCGCCGAGCTCCTGGCGCAGGACATCGATGGACCAGCCGTCAGCTATGATGTGGTGCATAACGATCGACAGGATGTTGTCGTCGACTCCTGGCAGCTGAATTAGAGAGACTCTCCATGCAGGCTCAGATTTGAGGTCGAACGGCGTCGTCTGCTGTTTGAGCAGCAGCCCGCTGAAGTCGTCGTCCTCAGGGGATAGGCTCATGACTTTGAGCTTTACTCTCCCGCTATCGAGCACCTTCTGTACGCCCACACCGTCCACTTCGTCAAACACTGTACGGAGTGTTTCGTGGCGTTGCTCCAAAGCGCCTAGAGCGGCTTCCAGAGCGTGGATGTTCAGAGCTCCGCGCAAGCGCGTGGCCATCGACATGAGGTACGACGCTGTCCCACCAGCCAGCTGCTCCATAAACCACACTCGGCCCTGCGCAAAGGACTGCTGGACGGGACCGGAATAGCCCCCGACTCTCTTGATCGGGCTGTGCGAGGCGGAGCCGCTACGACGGATCTTCGCGGCAAGATCGGCCAGGACGGGGCGATCAAATACGTCCTTGACGGACACAGCGGTGCCAAGACGGCGGCTGAGGCGCGCGGCGAGCTTGGTGGCCATGAGAGAGTGGCCGCCTAGGGCGAAAAAGTCGTCGTTAACACCGACCTCGGCGGCTCCCAGCACGCCTGCGCACTCATCGCAGACGGCAAGCTCGACCTCGTCGCGGGCGGCCACCGCAACTGCGACCTGGACCTCGCTCCTCGCCGCCGTCTGCGCGAGCCGGCCGAGTTCCTTGCGGTCGACCTTGCCGTTGGCGTTGAGCGGCATCTGGTCCATCAGCACGACGCCCTCGGGGACCATGTACTTGGGCAGGAAGACGCGCAGCCGGCTCAGGATCTCGGCCTCGGCGGCCGCCTGCGACTGCTGCTCCACCAGCCTGGGCGCCCGCACGAAAGCGATCATCTCGGGCTCCTGGCCCTCCTGCGTGTTGCGCACGACGACAGCGGCATCGGTAACGGCTTCGTGTCGGAGCAGTCCGGCCTCGACCTCGGCCAACTCGATACGGTGGCCGCGAATCTTGACCTGCTGGTCCATGCGGCCAAAGAATTCCATCTCGCCGTCCGTGGGCCGGTAGCGTGCCTTGTCGCCGGTCCTGTAGGCTTTGACTATCTCGCCGGCGATTTCCACCTCGGTGAACCGGTCGCGGTCCAGTGCCGAATCTGTGTATCCGCGCGCCAGGCCGTCTCCCGTGAGGACCAACTCTCCCACCACGCCAATGGGTACCAGTCGCTGGCGCCCATCCATAATGTAGGACCCAGAGTTGGTGAGGGACCGGCCGATAGGCACACCGTTGGGGCAGCCTTCCTGCAAAGTCATCTTGAATATCGTACTAAACACGGTGTTCTCCGTCGGGCCGTAGGCGTTGACGATGCCGCACTTGGTAGCGACCTTGCAAGCCGCGATGGCATCTTGGACGTCCAGGCGCTCTCCACATGCCAAGAGGGCGTCGAGCCGCGCGATGGCCGCGGCCGACTCGGGGCTGGCGAGGCACTGCTTGAGGAACGCCGGCGTGAGCAGGGCTGCACGCACCTGCTCCCTCTCAAAGACCTTGGCCAGTGCCGCTGGGTCGAGAAGCGTCATGTAGTCGATGCAAACGACGGAGCCGCCGTTGAGGAGCGGCGCGTAGAGCTCCCAGGTCGAGAGGTCGAACGAGAGCGTCGTCACATGAGCCACGGGGACGGCCGATGCGGCCGACGTTACGACGTTGGTGTCCTTAACCAGGCGCACGATTCCCCTGTGCTCGATCATGACACCTTTGGGCTTGCCGGTCGAGCCCGATGTAAACATGACGTAGGCGAGGTTCGTGGCCAAGGGCCCATCAGCAACCTCTGCCCCTAGCGGGCTCGAGAGACCGCCCGCCGAGGAGTGGTCCAACGTGCTGTTGATACGAATCACGTCCACGCCGGTCAGGTCGGTGTCTGGAGGGGGCACTCCGCGGCCAAGGAGCAGCAGCCTGCATTCAGCCGCCTCCAGGATAGCCCCGATACGGGCGCCGGGCACGTTGACATCAAGGGGGATGTATGCTAGCTTGGCCTTGAGAATACCCATGAAAGCCACGACGGCCTCGCACGAGCGCGGGGCCAAAACACCGATGAGCGTCTCGGCTGGAATGCCCCGGCGACGAAGCCAGGCTGCCGCCTGGTCCGACTCGGCGTCAAGCTGGGCATATGTCAGGCGCCGCCCCGACGAGTCCGTAACGGCCGTTGCGTTTGGGAGGGCGGCTGCCTGCTGGCGGAAAATGTCCACCACGCTCGAGTCGCGCGGGTAGGCTGTGCGCTCGATGTGCATCAAGCCCATCGCGTCGAGCCCGTCCAGCCCGTCCGTTAGGGGGAGTGCCGAAATGGGCGTTTGGGGTCGATCCAGGCCCCGGCGGAGCACCTCCTGGAATACGGCCACGACACCCTCGATCGTCTTCCTCTCGAAGAGATCCACCGAGTACAGGACCTTGCCCGACAGGCTGTGCTCTGCTTGGAATAGGTGGAACTCCATGTCCAGGCGCGTTGCCATTGGCCCTGGCGCCGGCTCGGCCGACATGCCTTCGAGCTCGACCCTATCCAGGTTAGTTTGCGAGTGCAAGGCGAAGAGGAGCTGCACCAGGGGGTTGCGGGACGCGTCCTGGGACCCCCGCAAAAGCGCCGAGACGATCCTCTCAAACGGGACATCCTGGTTCGCGAAGGCAGCCGTAGCCGTGGCTCGGACCTGCTTGACCAGCGTGTCAAATGTGGTATCCTCTTCTTCCACTGTGATCCTCATGCACTGCGTGTTGACAAAAAAGCCGATTAGATTTTCCAGCTCAGGCCTATTGCGATTGGCGATGGGCGTGCCGACGGTGGCGTCGTCGGCCCCCGTGAGGCGGTAGTGTGCCGCCCGGAACGCAGCCAAAAGGACGACAAATGCCGTCGTCTGGTGCGCGCGGCAGAAGGCCTGCAGTCGCTCATATGCCGCGCCCTCGATGGTAAACTGGACTATGCCGGCCTCGCCCGACAGGAAGGCAGGCCGTTTTCGATCACACAGCAGTTCCGCAGGCGAACTGTCTGCCAGTTGCGTCTTCCAGTATTCCAGCTGCCGTTGGTGTTCGGCGGCTTGCTCGGGCAACTTTTGCCACAGCGAAAAGTCCCTATATTGGATGGGCAGGGGTTCCAGCGCCGCAAGGGGGTCGCGGCCGTTTGCTGCGGCTGAATAAAGGCGGCTCAAATCTTTGCGGACAACGCCAAAGGACCAGCCGTCGGCAATGATATGATGCATGACTATCGAAAGGATGTAATCGTCTGGTGCGATTCGCAGCAGGGACACCTTCCAGCCGGGCTCAGACCCCAGATCGAAGGACACGGCCTGTTCCTCGCGCAGAATCTGGGCGAAGTCGCCGGAAGCGTCGATGACTCTCAGCTTTTTGCGCGCGCCGGCCGACCGCACCACCTGTATGCCCACGCCATCGTCGCCGTTCTGAAAAGTGGTGCGCAGAGTTTCGTGCCGCTGCTCCAGCGTGTGCAGAGCGGCCTCGAGCGCGTCCACTTGGAGCTGGCCGCGGAGCCGGGTGGCGAGCGGCACGACGTACGCGGTCGAGATGTTGAGCTGGCCCAGGAACCATAGCCGCCCCTGTGCGAACGACTGCTCCACGGGACCAGAGTAGGGCGCGCCGGTGATGGGGCTGTAGGCGCTCGAGCTCCGGCGGATGCTAGCCGCGAGATCCTTGAGCACGGGTTGGTCGAAGATGTCCTTGACGCTGACGTCGGCGTCCAATCGGCGGCTGAGGCGGGACGCCAAGCGCGTCGCCATGAGCGAATGGCCGCCCTGGTCGAAGAAGTTGTCCTCGATGCCCACCTCGATGCCCAGCACGGCGAGGAATTCGTCGCACACGGCGGCCTCCACCTCGTCGCGCGGAGCCACGCGCGTGGGGGAAGAAGCGACCTTGGTCTTTTTGGCCGTGGTTTTTGCCATGCGCGCTAGCTCCTTGCGGTCGACCTTGCCGTTTGCGTTGACGGGCATGCGGTCCAGGACCACGATCCTGTCCGGAACCATGTACGACGGAAGCAGCGCCTGGACCCTGTCGCGCACCTCGGCCTCGATCCGCCGGCTCTGGAGCTTCTGCATCGGCCGGTTGGCAAAGGTGGCCGGCGGCGCGCCCGCGTCGTCGGTCGGGAACTCAAACAGCACGCGCGCGCCCTCGGCCGCTGCCGGGAAGCGGTGGAAGACGGCGTCGAGTGCGGCGCGCCTGGATAGCTGCCGGGCCCAGCTGATCTCGACGCGGAAGCCGGCCTCCTCGGCCATGCGGGCGAGGTCGAGCGCCGAAAGTGATGGACATCGTTGGGCGGCCAGCCGCGCGGCGACGACCCAGGCCTCGTCGTCTTCGTCGTTTGCCTCGTCCTCGAGCGAGGCCAGGATTTGCCGCTCCACGATGGTCTTGCTGTACGGGATGTTGGCAACCGCCACCGTGGCCGGCTCTCCAGCCGCGCCCTTGAGGAGCTCCGCAAGACTGTCCCTGTCCATGGCGGATTCTCGGAAGTCGACCCACGCGGACGTGTCCACGATGCGCGGCGGCTCCTCGATGCCGTGCGGACAGTTCAGGTGGATGACGGCCGCATATCTGTAGCAGCTGAGCTCGTTGGTGGCCACCATGCGCTTCGGGATGACCTCGACGTGCCTGACCCGGTTGGGCAGCAGGGCCGTCAGGCCGGTGAAGAAGGCCGGGCCGACCAGAAGCTCCTCCTCGCGGTCTTCCATCTCCTCTATTCTGGCCCGGAACTCGGCCTTGGCGATCCTGGGGTTCTCGCCCAGCGAGTGCAGAGCCCTGCCGGCAAGGAACTGCCTGTCGATGGCGTGGGAGCGCATGTCGCCAAAGTACACCCGCCTAACGGTCGGCATGGCGGCTATCGTCCGGACCAAGTCCAGCAGGTACTCGGGCGATGGGAACAGCTGCGCGACCGAGTTGACTACCACCAGCTCCGGTTGCTGGGCGTCGATGCTACCAAGGTCTTCCGCCGTGCCGACGTTCATCTGGACCCGGCCCGCGAGCTCGGGGATCGAGGCCACGCGCTGCGTGACGAAGGAGGCCGCCGACTTGGACGGCTCGATGCCGACGTAGTTCTCGAGCCCGCCGGCCTTGGCAAGATTGAAAAGGATCATGCCACTGCCAGTACCGATCTCAAGGACGCGGCCTGGCGGGCGGCCGTTCAGGACAGTGCGGATAGTGTCGTCGAGCCACTCCTGCATCTCGGTCCTGTCGATGGCGCTCCCGTCGTACATGGACGTCCATCCGACAAAGTCGTTGCCCACAGCCGAGCCGTCGACGCCGCCGAGCGTGGCGTAGTTCTGCTGCTCGTAGTGGTTTACCCAGATCTCGACCTGGCCATCTTCCTCGTCCCCAGCAGTATCCCCGGCGCGCGGCTCGACGAAGCCAATCATCTCGGGCTCGCCGCTGTCGTCCTTGTGGACAACAACCGCAGCGTCGCGGAGCCCGCCATGGCCGAGTAGCGCCTTCTCGACCTCGGCCAGCTCAATGCGGTGGCCGCGGATCTTAACCTGCTGGTCTATGCGGCCGAAAAACTCGATCTGCCCGTCCGTCGGCCGCCACCGCACCCTGTCCCCGGTCCTATACGCCCGAACGGGCTCGCCCTCGCCGACCTGGATCGTAACGAACCGGTCGCGGTCCAGTGCCGCGTCCGTGTAGCCGCGCGCAAGCCCGTCCCCCGTCACGACGAGCTCTCCCAGCACGCCGAGCGGCACAGGCCGCATCAGGGGGTCCATGACGTACGCTCCCGAATTGCTGTATGCTCGACCGATGGGGACGCCGTTGGCGCACTGCTCATTGGCACCCATGCGGTACATGGTGCTGATGCCCGTGTTTTCCGTGGGCCCGTAAGCGTTACAAAATGCGTGCCGCACTAGCTGCGCCGCTCTCAGGGCGTCCTGAGGGCGGATGGCGTCTCCTCCTGACAACAGCATATCCAGCTGGCTAAACGTCGAAGGCGATTCGTACAGGTACTGTTTAAGAAAGGCTGGCGTAAACACAGCAGCCCGAACCTTCTCGCGTTCGAACACCGCCGCCAGCGCCTTGGGATCTAGCACCGTCATATGGTCGACACACACAACGGTGCCACCATTCAATAATGCTGTGTATATCTCCCACGTCGCCATATCAAACGCAGGATTTGCGATATGGGCAACTGGTACGGCAGCCTTATCGACAGGCAGAACGCTCCTGTCCGTAACGAGACGGACGATGCCGCGGTGCTCTATCATGACGCCCTTGGGGCGACCTGTCGATCCCGAGGTGAACATGACGTATGCTAGGCTCGTAGCCAGCGGCATCACGGTGCTGGCCGCCGCCGACGCCGCGCCTGCGGTGTCCACCGCCTCATCGAGCCTGACCAGCTCCACGTCAACACCCGGGATTTCGGCCCCGCACACACCGCGGCCGACCAGCACCAGCCTCCTGCCGCCGCCGGGCATGGCCGACAGGATCTCGGCGACGCGCGCCGCGGGCACGGCTGGGTCGAGTGGTACGTAGGCGAGGTTGGCCTTAAGCACGGCGAGGAACGCAGCCACGGCCTCGCATGACCGGGGCGCCAGGACGGCGACCAAGGCCTCGGCCGACATGGCGCGGCGCCGCAGCCAGGCCGCCGTCACGTCAGACCGCGCGTCGAGCTGCGCATACGTCAGCCGCTCCGCCGCGTCGACGACGGCGAGGGCGTGCGGCGTCGCCGCCACGTGGGAGCGAAACAAGTCGACCACGCTCGAGTCGCGCGCGTAGCCAGTCCGCTTGACGCCTAGCAGGCCCATGGTTGCCAGTTCATCGAGCCCGCCCAGGGGGAGCGCCGAGACGGGCTCTGCAGGCTGCTCGATGCCCCCGCGCAGGATCTCCCGGAAGGCGGCGATTATGCCGTCGATGCTTCTTGTTTGAAATAAGTCCGTCGAGTAGGTTATCTTGCCGTCCAGGCCGCCGTGGGTCGTCTCGGCCAGGTGGAGCTCGAGGTCGAGCGCGACCTCCGCCGCCGCCGCCACCGAGGGCTCCACCGGCAGGCCCTCCCCCTGCGAGTGGAGGCCAAAAAGGATGCGCACCAGATGGGCGCGGCTCTTCTCCTTCTGGCCTGCTTTCTGCAGCGCGGACGCGATGCGGCCCAGCGGGACGTCGCCGTGGGCCAGGGCGGCGGCGGCTGCCGCCTCGGCCCTCGCCGTCAGCTCGGCCAGCGTGTCGCTCCCTCCCACGGCGATCCTCAGACACAGAGTGTCGGCCGGTAGCAAACGCACAGCCCCGACAGGCCCGGCCTTGGAGGTCCCGACGATGGCGTCCTCGGCCCCGGTGAAGCGGTAGTGTGCCGCGCGGAAGGCGGCGAGGAGCACGGCGAAGGTGGTGGCCTCGCGCGCCCGGCTAAACCCCTGCACCGCCTCATGCAGCGAGTCCTCGATGGTGAAGGCCGCGACGGCGGTCTTGCCCGAGAGGGCGCCCGCAGGGCGTGGCTGGTCCGTTAGGAACTCGGCCGAGACGCCGTCTGCGAGCTGCGTCCTCCAGTAGTCTAGCTTCCGCTCATGGGAAGCTTCCTGGCGCCGTACGGCGCTGCTCTCTGTGTGAGCCTTCATGGCCTGGGATGGCGTGTGCCGTGTCCCCCTGACTTCGTCTGTTTCTTGTTAGAACTTTTGCCGGTGTTGAACTTATCAAACGGTTGTTAGAAATATAGGCTCGATTCTTTGTGTTAAGCGTGTAGAGAACTTGGTCGATATGCATAGCAGCTCAGGTGCGCGCCAAACTAGGCGGATAAAACAAGCCTACTTGTGCTTCTGCAGTCTTGCTCTCCAGGTCTGTCCAGTCCGTTATTGACTCGTGCCGCCGCCGGCCATGGTGATGCCGCTGCAATGTACCGTGTCACGTCCCGGGCTACCTCTTGTACGTAAAAAGGCCCTTTGCCCCCAGCTCCGGCATCCTGGGACAGCCCATCTCGGTCGCTGTCACGGCGCCTGCTTGGACCCTGACTTGTAAGATGCATACCCCAGGTCCTTGCCGCCACGTCGGCCGAACCCGCACCGTGACCGTTGTTACTGCACCTGCTTGGACCCCGACTTGTAGGATGTATATTCCACATCCTTCGCGCTACGTTGGCAGTCTGGCCAGAGGCCGCCCGAGCGCGTCCTTTAGTCAACCGGCCTGTTCAGCTGTGACCTGGCAGCTTGAGTCAACACATGTCCTAGCATGCTTGCGGTGTAAGGTATCATGCTTGGCGATACCGGATTGGGAAAGTGGCATGTCGTATTCTGGCTATAGCTGGTGCGTGGGCCGTGCACTCACGTGCCTGGGCCCACCTCATACACTTGCACACATTTTTCCGGATTGGGATAACTCGAATGAGCTAACCCTTATTGTTTTTATATTCCTTGCAAATCGGTGAGGCATTGACAGTTCATCTTCTGTCATACACCGAGTTTCGGTGACAACCTCCCCTCCCCAGACCGCCATCTTCCCAAGGGTTGAGTTAAAATCGGGGCCAGCCCGACACGGCGCGCAAACCCCGATGAAGCGGTAAGCCGATGGACTATTTGTCGGCCCCTTCGATCAGTTCTCTGTGCCATGGTTAACCGGCGCACTCGGCAATCTCCAATCTCCCGTCGGGCCTAGTAGCGCTGCGCCATCCCAGCTGTTTCCTTCATTCCCTAAGGGGCTTTCCATTTGCATATTCTAGCCGAAAATACCACTATCACATCGCAAATCGGAATACCATCGTGGCCACAGTGAAGCTATTCCTTGATATCAACGCCATAGCATGGAGCCATCTATCGCCGTCTTAATTACCGGTGCGACCCCCACGCCCCCAATCCGTTCTGTCACTCGCAGACCACGCATCAGCCACGGCCCGGCTATACAAGGCTGCTGCCACACCATTTCCCCCTGCAAATACCCGCAATGAACGGCCTGCATGCTAACAACAACCAACTTTGCGTGCTCAGGTGCCAACGGCGGCGTGGGCTTCGCCAGCTCCAGGGTAATAGCGAGCTCGTCCGGCAGGTACCACGTCTTCGTGACAGCCCGCACGCTGGAAAAGGCCCAGGGCGCGGTGGAAAAGCTTAAAGCGACGGGCCAGCTTAGGGGTACCGTGTCGGCGCTGCAGCTCGACCAGACGGACCCGGCTTCGGTCGCTCGCGCAGCCGGGGCCGTCGAGGAGCGCTTCGGGCGCCTCGACGTCCTGGTCAACAACGGCGCCGTGGCCTACGTTAAGGACGACGAGGGCAACCTCGCCATGGGCGCGGCCTCTTTCGAAAACGCCTTCAAGTCGGTTTTTGAGATCAACGTCGTCGGACCCTTTACCGTCTCGCGTGTCTTTCGCCCGCTCCTCGACAAGTCGGCCGACCCGCGCTCCGTGTACATTTCGAGCATTGCCGGCTCCATCGCCAAAACTCCTGATATGGCCGCGGCTTACGCCAGCTTTGGCCAAAGTGGCATTCCTTACGCCGTCAGTAAAGCGGCGCTGAATATGGTCGGGGTTGTCGAAAAGGTCGTTCATGCCGAGAGCAAAATTAAAATGTTTGCAATGTGCCCAGGCTATGTGGTATCCAACCTGCGCGGCACGGGCGAGGACGCTCGGACCGGCTGGGGCGACGCCGGTAATCCAGACGTGTCTGGCCGCACGCTTTTAAGCATCATCGAAGGGGCTAGGGACGAGGACGAGGGCAAGGGTATTCTTCACAAAGATGGTGTTTACCCCTGGTGAGCCACGCGACTGGGCCGGATCTTTTCGTCGCTTTTTTAACTAGGGAAGTAAATATTACCTTTTTGTTTTGTAGAAGCACACGCGCGTTTCGGGGTCGTCGGGGTACGTAAGCTGAAATTGTTGCTTTAGGGGGTGGTACGAAGTGGCCAGGAACGGGTTTCGCCAGGGCTCCTGGATGTCGTACTCCAAAGTATTATTGTTTTGAAATAAACCTGCCATGACGCTATCCCTCGACATTTGAACGCTGTACTGTAAAATTGGTAATTCGCGGCGTCCCGTTATTCCAATAAGATGGTCGTGGTGCCGTATGTAGCGGCCCGGCTCCGTGTGGTTCTGGCGTTCAGTTTATAGCCCGAGTTGGATGCTTTTACGATTTTGTCACAAAGTAAACAGTATATACTGTCATGAGGAAGCCTTAGGCATAAATATTAAATGCTTAAGGCATCGGAAAAGCGGTCCCCTTGCCTGGAAGCGTATAACGCTTCCAGGCGTTAGGAAGGAAGCTTAGTAAGCAAGGAGGACAGGGAGTTACGTGTATATAAAGGGCAAAGGCTTTTACGGGGCCCTGCACTTTAAATCCTTTCCTTTTTAAAGCATATTAACCGAAATAGCCTTATACCGTGCTTATCCCTTTTATTTGCAATAATTATAAGCCCGGCAACTTTTAAACCCTTTTACGTAAAGTAAAAGGCTTAGTAATACGGATTTATTCCTTTTTTATTACCTTTATTAAATCGTTTCCAAACGCGCTTTTCCAAGCGCGTTTATTTTCCTTTTCCTTTTCGCAATTTTTTTACGGAAAAATTTTTACGCTTTCGAAACCTTTTTCGACAAAGTTTTTTTTGCCAAAGCAAGCTTTGTAATTAATCCCGAACGTTGTTAAAAACCCTTGTTAAATTTTACTTTTTTAACTTTTACGTTTTTACGTTTTTAAAACTTTTAACTTTTTATTTTTTACCGCTTTATTTTTACAAGCTTTCGGTTATTACTAATTATAAATAGCACGAATAACAATTTTTTCGTAATAGCGTTGCTTAAAAATTAAAAGTAATAGCTTACGTAATTTACGGCGTTTCGTTAAAACGCATTAATTTTAAGGATTTAAAACCAGGTTAACTTTAATTTAAGGGTTAGGGTTAGGGTTAGGGTTAGGGTTAGGGTTAGGGTTAGGGTTAGGGTTAGGGTTAGGGTTAGGGTTAGGGTTAGGGTTAGGGTTAGGGTTAGGGTTAGGGTTAGGGTTAGGGTTAGGGTTAGGGTTAGGGTTAGGGTTAGGGTT